TAACCAGGATGACTTTACCATAGAAATTGCCGCATGAGTTATCTGCAGAACATCCACACAGGCAGCAACGCATCCATCTGCACAAACAGATGTCAATACACCTTATAAACAGTAAAAATATGTACTATAAAAAGTACCACTCACCTCTATCTAAGACAGGAAGATGTAAGAACTTCCCTTCATGCATTATATGCAGTGCATCAAGGATCGTTGTCTCTAACGTAGCACACTCAGGGTTTGAAGTCATTACCTAAACAAATTATTTGGATAGCACAAGTTGATTCATGTTTGTTCCAGGAAGCTTATTTCAAAAAAGGAACATAGCTATATAGTTAATTCTAAATATAGAATAATCAAACATTCGATGGTTTAGAGGAAACCTTTTCCACCAAAGTCAACTCAGGAGAGAGATTTTGCGCCACAACTCGCATAAGGATATCCTTGGAACTGCAGTCAGTCAAAAGCAGGCATCATATGATATTCATTAGAGAGGACATACAACATCCAAGAATAGCATCTAACTCCAAATGTTCATAAACAAATATAAAGTAAAGAACAATACGTTAGTATCCCCTGAATCTTGTTGCCCATTACAATTATAACTGAATTAACCCGCAACTCCCGCATCCTTTTTGCTGCAACATAGACAGGATCCGATGGGGAAACAATGGCAACCCTGAAATCATAGAGCTACAAGCTTGTCAATAGAAAACAAACCTTAAACAAAAATTAAGCCAAAAGTTATAAATTGCATCCTCCCTAAAAGACCAAATGGCAAGTCACGCTAAAGAACTGTACTTTGAATTTTCACCAATGATGGTTGACAAGGATGGCTTGAACATTCGATCCCTCAAAGTTTCTAGAAAAGCATATGGAGCTGCAATACATGATGATAAACAGAACAGAATAAGTTAAATTCTAACAGATGTGTCAAATGTATGTACCAAAATAATAAACATATAGGCTCTGTTAATACAGTGCACAATCTCTATAAAACAGAGGCTTTTGTAAAACCTTACTGTAGGAAGCAACTTCCAATCACACTCAAGTAATTTAATAATATTTTCAAACATTAATACGAACCAGAAAAATTGGCTCCCATCTGGCGTTCAACTCCTTCAACTGCAGCAGCAATGGCACTCCCCTGCTCTGCTGCCTTCTCCAATCTTGATATAGCATCATAGAGACATTTTGTGATATCTAACAAGGCAATAACTTCACCACTCTCTACAACAGGGAGGTGTCTGAATTTACCTGTTAACAGAAAAAGAAATGAAATCATCCGCGTTGCCCAACGTAGCCATGATAAATGAAGATTTAGATGCAAATTCTTAGACAAACCCACTCACAGACACGAACAATAAAACAAAATAACAAAAACTACAACCTTGTTAGATAAAAAACTAACCTTGGATCATTTTCTGAAGAGCTTCAAGAGCTGACGAATCAGAATTAACAAATATAGGATTCCGCGTCATGATCTTTGATACAATTGTCTGCTCCGGTCTCAGCCCCTCGGCAATGACTCTAGCGGAAATGTCCTAAAAGCAAAAGTACAATAAGCAAATACTCAAGAACTCACAACAACAGCCTACTATGAGTTATAGCTTGAACCTTGTCCGTCACAATCCCGGAAAGCAACGCATTTGAATCAGTTAAGAGCACAGCATCCACACGGCGAGCCGCCATCCTCCGACATGCATCAGATACTGTAGTCCCCTCCGGAATAGTTAGAGCTTTCGACAACCTTAGCTTCTTCACCGTCCTCTCCCCACCACCAGACCTTGTTAAATATTAAAATTAAAACACCATTTTCTGTTAAAAACTAAAGGCAAGTTTTGCAGTCCCCAATTCTCAGGAAACCAAACTTGAAATCAACTCAACTATACAAATTGAAGAAAAATTTTCCAGGAAACCATTTTCTCGGGAAACAAACATAGAGCAAACGAGAAAGGACAATAAAAACTTACGAAAGGGGAGGAGGATGAGGAGGAGAGGAAGGTTTGGTCGCGGTGCCATTAGAGGTTCCGTTCTCGGGAGGGGCCGATTTCTTAACCCCGGCGGAGGGGCCGCGTTTTTGGCTGAGACTGGTCCGCCTCACACCCACCTGACTGCTCATCTTTCTCTTCTCTGCGATTATTAGGGTTTCTCTGGTTATCTGAACTGCAGAAACCCTAATTTAGTTGCAGTGATAAGAGAGGGAGACAGAAAAAGGGAAACCTCCCCCTCTCTCTCTCTCTCTCTCCTCTTTTCTTTTGTGGAATTAAAATTGGAGTGAGACAGACAGAGTATTGTAATTTTCAATTAAACATGGAGGATAATTTTGTGGTGGCCCGAGGGGCAGAGAAAGTCGATTGAACCGGACCAATTGCTCTGGTTCGGTTCAGGTTTTTGAAATTTAAATTAAGTCACACAATATTTGAGTTTATAACTAGGGGTGGATAAAATGACTGAAAAATCCGAAACGGAACTGAAATTTACCTTAAGCTGAGACTGAGGCATACCAAAAACCGAAAAGCCAAAAAAGACGAAAGTTTTTGGTATGGTATTCGGTTTCCTTGACTGTTAATTCGATAATCTCAAACCAAACCGAAAATATTTTTAATATTTTACACTATTTTTGAGAAAATTGATGCTTTAAATGGTATAACTAATTGGTTTTATGGGATTTAAAATTTCCGTTAAATCGATAGAAGTAATTTTGAGATTGTTTAACATCAATTATTTTAGTTTTTTTGTGAAAAATATTCGTTAAAGTGAAGAAATCATCAATTTAATGTAACATCTCACATCGTCCAAAAGAGTGAATCATGTAAGCATTATATGTATATTCTCATCTCTACCCTAGCACGAGGCCTTTTGGGAGCTCACTGGCTTCAGGTTTCATTGGAACTTCGAAGTTAGGCGAGTTCGCACAAAAGTAATCCCATGATGGGTGACCCACTAAGAAGTTCTCGTGTGAGTTCCCATAAACAAAACCATGAGGGCGTGGTCAGCGCCCAAAGCGGACAATATCATGCTATGGCGGAGTGGAGTCCGGCATGTGGTGGGGCCCAGGTATGGATGCGACATATAAGATGAGGGGTTGATTTAACAAAATACCATCAATTTAAAAGGAAATTTCTCACAGAATAACCAAAATGATATACCGTGAACAATTTCAATAACCACTTCTATTAATTTTAAATCTCAAAAATAAATTAAAGATTTATATCAATTTCAAAAACCATTTTAGATAAAAGGCGTTGCATAAGCAGATAACAAATTTTTTAAAAGAGGTAGACGGTAAAGATGATTTGATGACCAAAACAATAGAAAAAAAGGACAAATTGATGATTTTGAAATATAAAGGACCAAATTAATGAGTTGACAGAATATAAAAAACAGTTTGTTATTGAAAAAAAAAACTAATAAAAATGATTTGAAAATTTTGAGTTTTAATGATAAAGATAAAATAAAGAGTAAAGTAAATTGTATCAGGATTAACTTTTTAGTGTAAAAATATGATTTTTCATTAAAGTGAACAGTACCAGAAGTTTTTCGTTAAAATTCCAAAAAAAAAAACCCTATTGTTGCTTCATATTTAGAATATAAATGTAATTTTGTAAATCTTATTGTATCTAGAAATATATTTGAATATTCTCTATAGTAGTTATTATTCTATTAGGGTTATAATCCTAATGATTTAGGCCTAATTGGATAAATGGTCCCCGTGGTCATAAGGTATTCGGATGATAGCCCCTGTGTTAAAAAAATTCGGATTTAAACCCCTGTGGTCTAAGTCTGTTAGGATTTATGCCCTTCTGTTAAATAATGCTGACGTGGCTACCACATATATGCCACGTGGCAAAAATAATAATTTTTAATTTTTTTTTTTAAAAACCTGAATTTTTACAAAAAAAAAAAAAAAAAAAAAAAAAAAAAAAACCAGATCTGCAAGAAGAAGAAGACGGAAGAGGGAGAGGGAGGAGGGGGCGAGGAGAGGGCTCCGGCGAGGGGGGAGCTGGTCTCCGACGGGAAGAAGAAGAAGAAGGAAGAGGGAGAGGGAGGAGTCGCGCGGGGAGATCGGCGGGAAGAAGAAGGAAGAAGGAGAGGGAGGAGGGTCGCGCGGGGAGAGGGCTCCGTCGGGGGGGGGGGAGCTGGTCTCCGGCGGGAAGAAGAAGAAGAAGAAGGAGAAGAAGGTCTGGCGGGGTGGGGGAACGGGCGGAGGGGGGGAGTTTCTGGGTTTCTGGTTTTTTTTTTTTTTTTTTTTGTAAAAATTCAGGTTTTTTAAAAAAAAATTAAAAATTATTATTTTTGCCACGTGGCAGACATTTGGCAGCCACGTGGCATATATGTGGCAGCCACGTCAGTATTATTTAACCGAAGGGCATAAATCCTAACAGACTTAGACCACAGGGGTTTAAATCCGAATTTTTTTACCACAGGGGTTATCATCCGAATACCTTATGACCACGGGGACCATTTATCCGATTAGGCCAATGATTTAATATATTATACTATTATATAAATAAAAGTACAATGAGATGATACAACACACATATTACAATTAAATCTATCTCATCTCTCTTCTCTCTTAGGTATTGTTTGGTACGTGGGACGAGAGGGAACGAAGTGAGACGAGGCGTTCTGTCCCACGTTTGATGCGCCTAAAACGGATGGAACGAATTTTGGGTGAATTTTCATTCCGCTTCACCCTCTAGAACGACTCGTTCCACATATGTGGAACACAATTATAACATCTCTGTCTCCTTCTTCCTCTTTGTTTCCATCCGAGGGCATATTTGCTCCCTCTCCATTCCATCCCGTCCCGTCCCATTCCGTCTCGTCCCATTCTGTCTCATCTCGGGTGCGTACCAAAAAATACTCTTTTCTTTTAAATAGTTCAGTTAAATAGGACTACGATACCATTTTTGTTTTCGGTTCGAAAAACCTTTATATTTAACCAATCAACAATGCACACACAATAATATGGATAGGGAGTAACTGGAGTTCCCGTAAAATTGAACCATCCCTTTTTATGTATAAATCAATTAGCTGTCAAAAGGGTTCTCTCCTTTTTTCTCAGCTGTTGAAATCAAATCAGAAAATTGCAGAAAAGCATCAAAGTATATATAAAAAAGGGGATTTTAGATGCTTTGTGGATCAGAAAATGGATTTTGTTAAGTTATATTATCAATTTTGCTTCCTTGTTTGTCCTTTTCCCCAACTAGTTGAGAGTTAAATTATCCAAATTGGTACTTTAGGGTTTTGATCGGGGGGATTGATGAGCACTATGAATCTGGCGGTGGTTCTGGTGGCGGTGGCGGTGGTTCTGTTCGGCCGATTTTGCATCACCAAGGCCAATGTGGTGCTGATGGGGAACAACGTCACTCTCTCTTTCGACGACAAGGAAGCTACTTTTGGTGAGTTTCTTTTGCTTTTGCTTTTTTCTTCATGTTTTAATTTCTGTTTGGTTGCTAAGAAATTGCGGGAAACAAGAGTAGCTGAAAGTTAAACCAAACTAATAATTATATGTATGTGTGTTTGTTTGTTGTTTTCCATGTTTGTGTTTTTGTTGATTTTTGTGGTGGACAATGATGTTAATTACAGCTCCGGAGGTTAAGGGTTCCGGGGAATGCGGAGTATTGTATTTGGCCGAGCCTCCTCATGCGTGCTCGACATTGACTAATCAAGTCGAACAAGGCACGAATTATAGCTCCCCCTTCGTTTTGATCGTAAGAGGAGGGTGTAGTTTTGAGGATAAAGTTAGAAGAGCACAAAAGGCCGGCTTCAAAGCTGCAATTATCTACGACAATGAAGATAGCAACATCTTGGTTTCAAGTAATGACCTTTTCCGATAACAATTTTTCACGCCTAGTGTTTTGATTTGTCATGCTCCATATTTTTCCAGCAATTACTCACTGATCAATGAAAATTAACGGTGTCGTTGGAGATGTAAACAATACACAAGTCTAGTTGACCATAAAAAAAACAACACACAAGTCTGTCCATGCCTCCCAAATGGTCACAAGCTCCTAAGTAAACCACTGTCTTGCTAGTTATAACTCAGCTTAGTTGTATTTACTTTTTATCTATTCAAACTAGGTGTTTCAAAACTAAAATTAGAATGACGATAAAATAATAGCAAAAAGTTTCACAGGAGGAAGATATTGAAAAAAACTGTTTGAAGGTTGACTATTATGCTTGAATGATAGATTCAGACTTTGTTAATTTTATACACACACACACACACACATATATATATGTGTATAGTTTTTACATTTCTATTCAATGCCCGAAAGGTTTACACCTCAATCTACTACTTTTCGTAGTGGTGATGAACCTTCTCCCACAAGTAATTTAAGAAGAGGTATTCATCAATTTACCCCCTTAATTTGTGACCCCCTCAACTCTCATAATTAGTCAATTTGCACCCTACTGTTAATTTTTTAAATTTTCCATCTATTCTTCCGTTAAGTAGGTATCCGCATGACAGGCTTTTAAGGGCAAAAAAAGTCAATTTGCACCCTACTGTCATTTTTTCAGTTTGCACTCTACTGTCATTTTCCGTTAAGTAGGTTTCAATACACCTTACCAGAGGTAGACGAGGCCGAGATAGGAGGCGACGGGGGTGTGGGCAGCTGCAAACTGCAAAAGCAGCATATCAAATGGACTGGGATGCAAACAGCGGAGGAGGGAGGCGTTGTCGGCAGTCACGGGCTCACCATGGAGACAAGGAAGAAGAAGAGAAAGTTCGAAGAAAAGGAAGAAGATCGAAGGTGAAGGGAAAATGACTTTTTTGCCCTTTAAAGGTAGTCATGCGGATACCTACTTAACGGAAGAATAGATGGTAAATTCAAAAAATTAACAGTAGGGTGCAAATTGATTAATTATGAAAGTTGAGGGGGGTAATTGGCCAATCCTTACAAGTTCAGGGGGTAAATTGATGAATACATCATTTCAGAATACATAAATGCAGTAGAAGATACACAGACTTTCTTCATGTTCTGAGATTTGTGACCATATGTTAATATGCGTGCACTTTCTAGTCTATTTTTAATTTTCTCTATACCCTTTTACCCTCCCAAGTGGTTTAAGTTTTAATTATTTATTTTATTTGTTCGCCCTTTCTAGAAACTGTAATTCCCTTTTGTGTGGAAAATACAGTGGCAGGAAGCTCAGCTGGTATAAAAATATACGCCGTGTTCGTTTCGAAAACTTCTGGTGAACTACTAAAGAAGTACATTGGACTTACTAACATGGAGCTGTGGCTAATTGCAAGCTTTGAGAATACAGCATGGTCAATCATGGCAATCTCTTTCATTTCATTGCTTGCCATGTCTGCAGTGCTGGCTACTTGTTTTTTCGTTCGCAGGCATCGAATAAGACGAGAGAGGCCTCAAGCTTTTCGTGTCCAAGAATTTCATGGGATGAGCAAACGCTTAGTAAAAGCAATGCCAAGTTTGAAATTTACCACTGTTTTAGAGGACAACTGCACATCAAGCACATGTGCTATATGTCTTGAGGACTATAACTTTGGAGAAAAACTCAGGATTCTGCCATGTCGCCATAGTAAGTTTCTTTTTGTTCCACCATATAAAAAATGTTGTTCCTTGCGGAGCTTTTTTGTATGATTGGTTGGCTTATGTTTCCTGCATTAGCATTTTAATGCATCTATGATAGCTACTCTACTAAGTTATGCAAAATTTTATTCGTTGGTCACATTTGATTTCTCACTTCATGTAAACAAAGAATTGGTTTCTCATTGTTTCCCAATTACCAGTATTCAGAAGTTGCGTTATTTTTGGGACTTCAACTGGGCTTGACCTGGTGGGCAGGGTGCCACAAGTTGCGCTACTTTTTAGGATTTTAAAGTCACTTGTCTATGCAAATAAATCATATAGGATCTCAGGACTTTGTTTAGTAGAGGAAAAAAGAGCTTATTGATGCATCCTGACAAGGCTTGAATTCCTGATTGATTTTTTGGGCAAATACCTATTGTTGTTAAGTCCTAAATAGTGGGCCACTAGGAGAGACCCACTTGGGGTTGAGACAGTGGCACATTAACTTGTGTTGTTCAATTTTTGTTTGGATAACATATTGTGAAAACAATACTTTGTTATTTAAATGAATTTGTATGCTGAAAGGTCCAAATTTGGTCCTTCCCTCCAAGAACTTTGCTTTATCTTAGACATATAGTCAACAGAGTGCTGGTTTGGTGATTAAACAAGTCATAAGGGGCATAAACTAGGCATTATTCTGGAGTGGTGAAAAGTGTTAAAAAAAATACGATACGCATTTCTGCAGATTTCATATTCCTTGAAAAATTTATGTCATTCTGCCAGATATTGCAGCAAATGGGACTTCTGAAGTTCAAACCTTAAATATTATCTTAATCGGCCTCTAAATTCATATAAGTGGATGCAAACTGGTTTATTTGCTGCACTCCACATTATCAAAAATCATTGAGAAACCATTGGAAGAATCGTATAAAACATCTCATTTGTTTGATGTTTGCTTCATGGTATGGCAATACAAATCCTATCCTGCAAAATACAAACTCTTGGTAATGCTTGTTGTTATGGCAATTAAATATTTGTTTATGCTGAAAATTCAGATACCTTTCCAGTAGTTCTAGAAGGTTGTTAGTGGTTAAATTTGAATAGTTATAAAATGTGAAGTAGTTGCGGAGGTAAAATTAAAGAATCTCCCACTTTGATAACCTGCTATGCTATTAACCTAGCCTAATGGAAGTTGTTCAATGTCAATGGAGCTTGCATACATAATGTAGAATCTTGAACAACTTTTCTCGTCAGCTGTATATTGACTTAAATAATTATTTTGAATTATGCATATCTCACTGTCATTTGCCCGGATTTTGACAGAGTTTCATGCTTTCTGTGTGGATTCTTGGCTTACTTCATGGAGAACCTTTTGTCCAGTTTGCAAGCGTGATGCAAGAGCTAATACGGGTGATCTACCCGCTTCAGAATCCACACCATTGCTTTCGTCCGGCCCATCCTCCGTGGCATCTTCCGTACTTTCATCTATGAGATCATCAATAGCATCATCTTCAGCAATACAGATAGGACCATCATTGTCACGGAACCCTTCATTGTCTCATTCTCACTCTTATGCTAGCACAGGTCACATTCAGCAGTCTCTTAGGTCCTCCTATCGCCAGTCCCCTTCTATTAGTGCAAGCAGAAGTTCAATGGACCTCCGAAATGCCTCGTCTCAAAGGTCCCATGTTTCCTATTTTGTTTCACCCCATTCCATGGGTTACCCAACTTTATTACCCCCGAATTCAAGATACATGTCTGTTGGACACATTCCAAGCCCTAGCAATGCATCACCAAGCTACATGAGCTCTTCCAATCATCGACAGCATCCACTACATTGTAGTGAATCAGCTGCAACGTTTTCTCCTTTTTCTTCTGCTCAATCTCTTCCTGAATGCTGATCAAGATTTATGAAATAGCTCGAGAGGGAGGTGAACCAAGATGCTTTTCTCCACTCTGACCTCACCTTGTTGCGGTATCGTGATTGAGGTCTATGAATGATGTGAATGCTTGCTATATGCTAGAATTCACACCTGAAATGTTTCTTGTTACCACCTCACATGTATATTAAACCATGTATATAGTTTTAATTTGCAAGATATGTTTAGTCATATATCAGATGTTTATCAGTCGCAAAGTCAAGGAGTGAGTTGTGGTGTGCTGTGTTGGATGTTGCATTTGATAATCGGCAGTGGTGGATACTATTAGGGAGCGTTTGGGATTTCTTTCCAGAATAACTTATGTTTAAAATTTGATCATCAAATGGTTTGGTAAAGTTGTAAAAAGTTGCTTTAAAAATTAAAACTTATGGAGCCTGCAAAAGCACTTTTAATTAAGTGACAGTCCACATCCCTCCAATTTTGTTTTTTATCTTTACTGGGTTTGGTGTAGCTTTCACTAGTTAGCAGTCGACTCCTTTATCTTCAGATTGCAGCTGCAGACCTCTAGGCTCTCATCTGAGAAATTTTACTGCTAACGGCGACTACCTGCTCATCAAGTCATCACTCATCTGTAAGTTTATATATCTCCTTACAATTTTTTACTTTTGGATTTGGAAGCTCTCAATTTTTCTCAGATTAGGGCTTTAACATTACTATGAGAATAGGGGCATTGTCTTGACTGTGAGATAGGGGCTTTGTCTACTTCACAATTGGATAGATTACTTCTTAATAATAATTGATTTAAATTTCATTTACGTATTTCATTTCAGTTTCTAACACTTAGATCATGTTTGCTGTGCGATTCACATATTCCAGTTGCTAAGTTTGTTCGAGTATTCAGAATTGATTATGTTGATAAGCTTAGTTCTGCCAAAGGTTTTATGCTGTGAATGTAGATGGTGCACATCTACATGTTTCTGTTATAGTATTTCCATATCTAGGATTCTCCTACTGATTATGTAAGCATGTAAGTAAAAATACCGTATCATATACAAGGGTTTTGTGCTTGACTCTGAAGTCTGAACTATCATAAAAGTCTGCTATGCTGATAATCGTAACTCAAAAATGGTTTGAGAATTTGTGTTTCTCTCTCTAAAGATGTGCTGGGATTGCTGGAACTAGTACCTAACTATTTCTAGAATTCAAATTATACACCCAAAATCTATACAGAGTTACTGCCATTTACATCTTCTGTCTCAGATTTTTGTTTTGCTAATTGTCGCTCCAAGGTGTGCTAGGCTTGCTCCAGTACCTTTTCCTTTTTCTCGTCTAAAAACTGCATTACAATGATACATATGTATGGATTGACTAAGTCGCATGGGATCATTACATTTTGTGTCTCTGTTTCATTCTTAGGCAAAGCTTTATATATGAAGCATATACACCGATGGAAAAGGAATAACGATGTGGAAAATGGATCAAAAGTTATGGCTCTTTGGAATAGTCGTAAACTCGTAATATAGCTATATTACGTGATGGGTATCAAGGAGGCGGTGGCAGGAAATCGTTGTGGCACATATCTTAAGAAGAAGGGATTGGAAAATTCAAGGACCAACTGCACTAAGAAGACAGAAAAGAATCCCAAATTGAACAGAAATATCAAATACGGATACTTTGGTTCTTACAAAGTTTCATGAACTCATTGCGATTCCAGGCATGGTTATGTTAAAGTCCATGAAATTTGTTCGAGTGGTAGAAGGCTGCAACAAGATCTCTGATGCTCTTAACGAGATATTTTACAGGTTCTCCTCTCTCTCTCTCTCTGATGGTCCTCGGTCATTTTATATCATTGGTTGTAATTCGCAGTTGACTGTGCATTGTTTATTCCCCATGCCTTGACACCATGGTAATATTATAGGTATAAATTACACCACGGGCACTATTCGTACCTCCAGGCCAGAGACAATAGACGCGGCAACTAGCATCCCATGAAGATCTCTTTGGCAGGGAATGGGTTCAATTTGGAAGCTGTTGACGTAGAACAAATGGCGGAATGGATCGAGGAGGAGATGGAACGTCGGAAGACAAAATGGCGCAATCATAAAAGGGGTATTAATTTCCCATAAAAGTGGCTCAAGCCACTTTTCGCAAAAACGTGTTAAAATAATTCTCCCACAAAAGTGGCTTGAGCCATCTTTTGCAGAAAGTCATCAAAACAGCAGCCTACTAATAAATGGAGTCTTTTGGGGTTTCAAGGGCTTTATTATATGTTAGTTATTTTCATTTTAATTTCCTAAGTCTTTTGAGTTTTCCAAGAGGTTGTAAAAGGCTTATTTAAGCCATGGCTTTGTAATCATTTGGACATCTTTTTATCAATTAATCAAATTATCCTTTGGGATTTCTATCAACTGGTGGACTCCAGTAAACTTTGTTCTACAAGGGATTACGCTGGTAACCCTTTCATTGCTTCGTGCTGCGACAATTGGTACCAAAGCGGGTTTCTCCCGTCTTGGCATCGTTGATTATCCTATCTATCCATGGGTGATCGTGATCGTGAACCTGCCCCTATCACTCGAGCAGACTTGGATGCTCAAGCTGAACAGATTACAAACTTAACTACTCAAATTAGAGAACTTCGTGAGATGTTGGTCCAAGCCATCGGTCCAAATAATCATAGAGTTGTTGGAGTCAATAATCTACGAGTTCCTAGGCTCCGTGTTCAAGACAGCGAATCGGAGTCCGAAGAAGAAGATGTGGAACCACATGCAGCTAACAATCCAAACCATCAAAACCGCAACAACTTTGATGACTTTCGGATTAAGGCCGACATTCCAACTTTTGCAGGAAACCTTAAAATCGAAGATTTCCTGGATTGGCTAGTTGAAGTAGAAAGATTCTTTGATGTCATAGAGGTTCCCGAGACAAAGATGGTGAAGATGGTGGCCTTCCGTCTCAAAGTAACTGCCGCTGTTTGGTGGGATCAATTACAAAATACTCGGCAGAGGCAAGGAAAGAATCAAATCCGCACTTGGAGAAAAATGAAGCAACTCTTGATGGATCGTTTCTTACCTACGGATTATGAACAGCTTTTGTATCGTATGTACATCAGCTGCGTCCAAGGCAACAGAAACGTGACTGATTATACGGATGATTTCATGAGACTTGCGGAGCGAAACAATCTGATGGAGACAGAAAATCAAAGGGTTGCAAGGTTCGTGAATGGATTGAAACCCTCCATTCAAGAAAAGATTGGGCTGCAAAATCTGTGGAGTTTGCAAGAGGCCATTAACATGGCCTTGAAGGCGGAGATAATAGAGAAAGAAAGGCGACAAACCTCTTTCCGGAGGAACGTGACGGAGCATTTTGAAAACCCTGTTGTCTCGTCCACCGACAAAGGGAATTCTGTGCCACAAAGTTCGGGAGAATTGAAACCTTCAAGTTTTTCTTCTCGAGCAGCAAATGAAGGGAGTAGCAGAACTTTTAACAAGGGGCAGAATAGAAACCAACCTCCAAGGGAGAATCCGTACGCCAAGCCTATGGGAGACATTTGTTATCGTTGCAACAAAATTGGGCATCGATCTAACGTTTGTCCTGAACGGAGACAAGCCAATTTGTTGGAGGCTGAAGGGGACCAAGAAGAAGTTGGTGATGATGACTATGAAGGCGTTGAATTCGCAACTGAAGAAGGAATGGATCGTCTCGCTTTGGTGTTGCAGCGAGTTTTTTTAACACCAAAAGAGGATGGGCAACGACACTGCATTTTTCGTTCTCTTTGCTCCATCAACAACAAAGTTTGCGAAGTGATTGTAGACAATGGAAGTTGTGAAAATTTTGTGGCCAAGAAAGTGGTGGAGCGTTTACAGCTACCAACGGAGCCTCATGTCACCCCATACTCACTTGGATGGGTGAAGAAAAGACCTTCCGTTTATGTCACAGAAACTTGTCGTGTCCCACTTTCCATTGGTAAGCATTACTGTGATGAAGTACTTTGCGATGTTATTGATATGGATGCTTGTCATATACTATTAGGGAGACCGTGGCAGTTTGATGTGGATTCGACATTGAAGGGTCGAGATAATGTGGTGTTATTTACTTAGAATAATCGGAAGATTGCGATGGCTCCTGTTTCGCCCTCTGATGTACCAAAAGCAAAGAATACTAGTTTCCTCACTCTAATTAGTGATAAACAGGAGATTGAAGGGGCCATAAAAGAAGCAGATTCTTTCTTTCCGATCGTGATGAAGGGACTATTGACAGAAAACAAAGAAGAGGAACAAATCTCTTCAGAAGTGCAGCAATTATTGGAGGAATTTCATGAACTCATTTCTGACGAGTTACCTAACGAGCTTCCTCCCATGAGGAACATCCAACATCAAATTGATTTGGTACATGGAGCTAGCCTACCAAATCTTCCCTATTATCGAATTAGCCATGCAGAAAATGAGATTTTGAGGGAACAAATTGAAGACTTGCTACAAAAGGGGTTTATCCGAGAAAGTATGAGCCCTTGTGCAGTACCTGCCCTATTGGTTCCAAACAAAGACAACGAAAAGAAAAAGGCATGGCGTATGTGTGTAGACAGCCGAGCTATTAACCGAATCACCATCAAATACAGATTTCCAATACCTCGGTTAGATGACATACTAGATGTGCTTGAAAGTTCGAAATTATTTTCAAAAATTGACCTTCGCAGTGGCTACCATCAAATTCGAATCAAGCCTGGAGATAAGTGGAAAACGGCGTTCAAGAGCAAGGATGGACTGTTCGAGTGGCTAGTGATGCCATTTGGATTGTCTAATGCACCGAGTACCTTCATGAGGCTTATGAATCAAGTTCTTCGTCCCTTTATTGGTCTCTTTGTTATGGTTTACTTTGATGACATCTTAATCTATAGCAAGACCAGAGAAGAACACATGATGCATTTGAGACACGTTTTGGGTGTTTTGAAAGAAAATAAATTGTATATGAATCTCAAGAAATGCATATTTTGTACAAGTAAATTGCTATTTCTAGGATTTGTGGTTGGTGAAAATGGTATTCAAGTGGATGATGAGAAGACCAAGGCCATCCGAGAATGGCCAACTCCGAAGTCCGTCTCCGACATGAGGAGTTTCCATGGCTTGGCTACTTTTTATCGAAGATTTGTGCGGCATTTCAGCACCATCACCGCACCCATTACAAAATGTTTGAAGAAAGGCAAGTTCTGTTGGGGAGATGAACAAGAACAAAGCTTTGTTTTGATCAAAGAGAAGCTTTGTACTGCTCCGGTGTTGGCTCTTCCAAATTTTGAGAAAGTATTCGAAGTCGAATGTGATGCAAGTGGAGTGGAAGTGGGTGTTGTCCTTTCCCAAGAGAAGAGACTTATAGCTTTTTTCTCTGAAAAGCTAAGTGAAGCCCGTAAAAAATGGAGCACTTATGATCAGGAGTTTTATGCGGTGATTCGAGCTTTAAAACAATGGGAACACTATCTCATTCAGAAAGAATTTGTGTTATTCACGGATCATCAAGCCTTGAAGTTTATTAACAATCAGAAGCATGTTAATAAAATGCATATCAGATGGGTAACGTTCTTGCAAAAATTTCCATTTGTTATCAAGCACAAATCTGGAGCTCAAAACCGTGTTGCCGATGCCTTGAGTAGATGAGCATCATTGCTAATCACTATTTCCCAAGAAGTGTGGGTTTCGAGTGCTTAAAGGAGTTGTATACAACTGATGATGATTTTCAGGAAATATGGAGGAAATGCATCAATCATGAACCTATGGCAGATTACTCTATCAACAAAGGTTTTCTGTTCAAAGGTAACCAATTATGTGTTCTTATCTCTTCCTTGCGGGAAAAGCTTATTCGAGATTTGCATGGAGGAGGATTAAGCGATCATCTTGGTCGTGACAAGACGATAGCAAGTTTGGAAGAAAGGTACTTTTGGCCACAATTGAAACGGGATGTTGGAGCCATTGTGAGGAAGTGTTACACTTGTCAGGTTTCAAAGGGGCAAGTCCAAAATACGGGTCTTTACATGCCTTTACCTGTTCCTAACGATATTTGGGAGGACATTGCTATGGATTTTGTGCTTGGACTACCCCGAACACCAAGGGGAATGGATTCAGTTTTTGTGGTGGTTGACAGGTTCTCCAAGATGGCTCATTTCATTGCTTGCAGAAAAACCGCTGATGCATCAAACATAGCCAAACTGTTTTTTAGGGAGGTTGTTTGATTGCATGGGGTACCTAAGTCCATCACTTCTGATCGAGACACCAAGTTCTTGAGTCATTTCTGGATTACATTATGGAGAATGTTTGGGACTACTTTGAATCGAAGTACTACTGCACATCCCCAAACTGATGGACAAACAGAGGTCACAAATAGGACTCTTGGTAACATGGTTCGAAGCATTTGCGGAGAAAAAACAAAACAATGGGACTATGCCTACCTCAGATGGAGTTTTCTTATAATAGTGCTGTGCATCGTGCTACTGGTAAGTCACCATTTTCCATTGTTTACACTGCCACTCCTCATCATGTGGTGGATTTGGTGAAGCTACCTAGGGGACATGGACTTAGCATTGCTGCAGAAAATATGGCTGAAGATGTGGTGGAAATTCGTGATGAGGTCAAGCAACGGCTTGAACAAACCAATGTTAAGTATAAGGAAGTAGTGGACAAACATCGGCGGGTGAAAGTGTTTAAGGAAGGAGATTCTGTCATGGTGTTCTTGAGAAGAGAACGATTCCCTGTTGGAACTTATAGCAAGTTAAAGCCACGAAAGTATGGTCCATTCAAAGTTATCAAGCGAATTAATGACAATGCCTATGTTATTGATTTGCCGGAGTCTATGGGAATTTCCAATACTTTCAACGTTGCTGATTTGTATACCTTCAATGATGATGAAGTTCTTTATCCTGATCATAACTCGGGGTCGAGTTCTTCTGAAGTGGAGGGGACTGATGTAGAACAAATGGTGGAATGGATCGAGGAGGAGATGGAACGTCGGAAGACAAAAGGGTGCAATCATAAAAGGGGTATTAATTTCCCATAAAAGTGGCTTGAGCCACTTTTCGCAGAAACGTGTTAAAATAATTCTCCCACAAAAGTGGCTTGAGCCATCTTTTGCAGAAAGTCATCAAGACAGCAGTCTACTAATAAATGGAGTCTTTTGGGGTTTCAAGGGCTTTATTATATGTCAGTTATTTTCATTTTAATTTCCTAAGTCTTTTGAGTTTTCCAAGAGGTTGTAAAAGGCTTATTTAAGCCATGGCTTTGTAATCATTTGGACATCTTTTTATCAATTAATCAAATTATCCTTTGGGATTTCTATCAACTGGTGGACTCCAGTAAACTTTGTTCTACAAGGGATTACACTGGTAACCCTTTCATTGATTCGTGCTGCGTCAGCTGTGATGAACGTGAGTTTATCGTAGATTTCAGACCCTAGTTCAGTGTGGGGAAAACAATTGTCTTCCAATGATCGGGCACGAATCAAGTCGAAGAGAGAGCGTGGCGATAATGGCGAGGCAGGACCGAGCGACGGGCTCAGTCTAACGAGGATCGCCCGCGAGGTCCGATCCGAGTACTGAAATGAGCATAGGTGAGCATCTGAAAGGGTTGTGTGTACAACAAGTAACATTTTGGTATTACCATGTCCTTCTTTCAACAAGTGTCACTTAGTACTACGGTCTGGTGGTATTCCTTTTTGCTTAAAAGTGAGTGTTTCTAGGTTCGAATCTCGTGGATGATGAATTTGATACCAAATTAGGCTACCCATTGTATGGTTTAGTCGAATTCTCCATCTCCTATTATAAAAATATCGATGTACTAAAAATAAAAAAATAAAAAAAATAAAAAATTAGTGCAACCACGCATTTTGCAGCTGATTATTATTTGTCTTAAATGTTGCTAACGTTATTAGTATTATTTTGTTTTTATATACAACAATATTTTGGAATTCAAAGACGAAAATGCAACTCATGTTATGAATCGTACATGATTGTCATGAATAAATGATATTTAAACACACAAAATTGAAAAATGACTTTGGATTTTGACAATCGTACAAAATCTCCTGGCACCAATGATTGTAGAAATTTTGTAGCGTGTGGACAGTCTGGTATTAAGAAGTATCATAATACATTTGTTTAGATTTTTTTTTTTTTTTTTGAAATTATGTCTAATTGTATAATTAGACTTGATGTACCAAGTTGTATTTTTTCATTACTATGAAAGATCTCCTACCAATAGGGGTTGGTATAAAAACCATAAAATCGTGATTAAAAAAAAATCGTAAAAAATCACGTTGACTAAAAAAAGTCAAAATCGGGACACAAAATCAAATTGGACCTCAAATGGTTCTGGTTTGGGAATACTGAGAAATGAAATAACCGGACCAAACTGTTTTTAATTTAAATAATTTTTTATTATAATTTTATATAATTAATTGATTGATTAGGGCTTAATGTTAATTTTTAAGTATGTAGTGGGTGGTCAAATAAGAGATAATATATCACATTTAGAGAGACCTTTGTTTGGCTGTTGTGTTGTAAGTTGTAATTAATTGGGATTTGATCAAGTTGTGCTACCATATTAAAACAAAAACATTAATTTAATACTTAATTACGCTTAATTAGATAATTTGTTTATGTTGATGCACAAAATCGGATGTCTTAGAACAACGTAAATCCGACCGTGAATCTGCAAGAAAGTAAAGAACACAAGATGTATCGTGGTTCATCCCAATGTTTGGGCTACGTGCAAACTGATGTTGATTGTATTTCTCTATATGATGAATATACAAGGAGGCTAGAGGTAGTGTGTTCTCTAGCCTATTTTCTGTGTGCTCTCTTCCCATAGCCTAAACTTGGCCTCAATCTTGGCCTCCCCCCCAATGAAGAGAGTGGTAAGTCCTTTTATAGAATAAGGGCTCTTCACTTATTACATATTTGCCCATTCATTTATTACATAATTACATTTAAGTCCCCCGAGTATTTATACGAGGTCTAAATACGGAAGCCCTAAGTATGGTACAAACAGTAGTTCCCCAAGTCTTCAGTCAAGAGAGTCTTTTGGCTGGAGACTTGAAATTCAGTCCATGTGTGGACCGAAGTAACTAGATGTTGTCTAGAACTGATACTCGATATGAGGCGGTGCCCAATCTGAAATGATGCTCAACTAGAAGTGGCACATGTTGCGAGGCTACTCTGCTTGTGGCTTATGTTGCCTTGGTTGGCTCGGCTTGTGGCGTTGAAGGTGAAGGAGTCCCTTTTATAGAATAAGGATTCGCTCCTCAATACAAAAAATGATGGGCTAGAGTTGGTGCTCGCGGCGAGTCGGTTACTTAGCAGGCAGCGATGCTCTCTAATGATGGTGAGAGAGTCCCTTTTATAGAATAAGGGATCGCTCCTTAATACATAAGTGATGGGTTATGAGTGATGCTCGCGGCGAGGTGGTTGCTTAGCAGGCGGCGATGCTTTCTAATGATGGTAAGGGAGTCCTTTTTATAGAATAAGGGCTCGTTCCACAATACATAAGTAATGGGCTAAGAGTCTCTCTTTAATGAATGTGAGGGAGTCGCTTTTATAAAATAAGGGTTCACTTCTCAATACATGAATAATAGGTGCTCTCTAATGAAAGTGAGGGAGTTCCTTTTATAGAATAAGGGTTCGCTCATCAGTACATAAATAATGGGCTAAGTCCCTCAAGTATTTTTCATGAGACCCAGTTGCAGAAGCCTAATATATGGTACATAGTGTAGTCCCCTAAGTCTTTAGTCAATAGAGTATGTTGGCTGAAGACTTCAAATTGAATCTATGTATGGGCTGAAGTGGCGGTTGTTCGGATGCGGTATTTGTATATCCTGCACTAAAGCTTCGTAGGTGAAGCTTTGAAAGTGAAGCTTTGAAGCTGGAGCTTTTGTAAATGAAGCTTTTGAAGCTGGAGCTCTATAAATGAAGCTTTCGAAGTTGATTGACATGAGTGATGCTCATGAATGTTTATGTTAATTGACATGAGTGATGCTTATGGATGTTGACATGAGTGATGCTCATGAATGTTGACATGAATGATGGTCATGAATGTTTATGTATGATTGACATGAGTGATGCTCATGTATAATTTTGGAGTACTGGACGTACTTTTGATCATCGAATTAGTGATAATAGCGGTAGACTGTCGAATAATTTTGGAGTACTAGACATACTTTTGATCACCTGGTTGGTGATAATAGCGGCAGACTGCCGAATAATTTTTGTAGTACTGGACGTACTTTTGATCACCTGATTGTGTGATAATAGTGGCAGGCTGCCGAATAATTTTTGTAGTACTGGACGTACTTTTGATCACATGGTTGGTGATAATAGCGGCAGGTTGCTGAATAATTTTTTGTAGTACTGGACGTACTTTTGATCACCTGGTTGGTGATAATAGAGGGCCTGGCTTTTTTGGGCACATGGGCCTTCGTCCTTCACATAACATTACAGCCCATTATTTTGGGCTTGCCCTTTTCTTTTTTTTTTTAATTTTTTTTATTATTACCATCTGATGAGGTTATACAGATGTATCCGAAAGATAAGAAAAATAAATCACATCATTCAAAAATAAATCCGACCCTCTGCTAAATGGGTCAAGCCCATAATTTCCTTTTTGCCTGCCATCACCACCGCAATTATGTCTGCTTCTTTTTATCTTCTTTTGCTTTATGCTTTTACTTTTTGCTTTTCTTTATGTTTCTTCTTTTTCTTTTCCCTTTTGCATATGACAGACAATGAATGATAATAGAATTAATAATAAGAAAAGAATCTTATCTTCGCTTTTGCTTTTCCCATGGTATTCGCAGGAGATAGGATCTGGGTCGACGACTGTCTTGACCATGAAGACCTTCATATCAGTGGTGATGAGTATATTCACTACTTGCTTTGGCATCGCGTGGGGTGGTGCTTGACATACAGGTTTTTGTGCAGCTTTTGACAATGACCTGCATTGACAGATAGAGTCGGGAAGGGCACTTAGCTTGTTCCCAGTAGCATTCAAAACCTTCAAATTTTGCAACCTCCCAATTGATTTCGGCAATGACTCCAAGAAATTTGAAGACACATTTAGCTCTTCCAGTTTCTCTAATCTAATTATTGACTCAGGAAGAACTTTGAGTTCATTTATGGAAAGATCCAGCAGGAGTAAACCGTGAATGGAGCCGAAGGCCTGGGGCAAGAATTGTAACTGTCGACCCAAGAGGTTGACCCAATCCATAGTGGTCTCGGTGGCCACCTACAGAATCCCAGCCAACTTCTTGGAGATGGTGACGGAGATTACAACGTTTCCGGTCGACCTGACGAAGACAAGACTTCAGCTGTGTTTGCAGGAGTACTGTAGCCCAATTCGATTCGAACAAATGAGATAAAGCCATCCCTTCATTCTTTGATCGGTTTGCGACATACCCATTTTGTAGAACCTCGATCCTCGATAAACCCACCTTTCAAATTCGATCACTTTTCAGTATCTCAACATCCATGCAAAATCTTGGGCTCCGTTTGTGTGTGGGTCGGAGTTAGACCAGGCTCGGCTTGTTTAATAGCAGTGGAAAGAGAGATTTGAGTGCGGATAAGATAGCAGAATAGTGATCCTCTGAAGTTCTGAACTCAATCAAGCCATTGAACACAGAGAATCATGGCGTTCGTCTTTGGAATTGTAGGTGGGATTCTCTCTTTCTCCCTCTTTCTCTCTGTTGGAATGGATTGGAACTGAGCCCGAGCTCTAGAACCCACAAACCCGTCCGAGTTTACATGGAAAAGAACACCAAAATCTGTAAAAAATGCACAGATGTAGGTTATGAAGGTTTGAAGCACGATGTGGTGACGGAGAGTGGTGAAAGTGATGGTGGTGTCTCTCGGTGCAAGAGAAAATGGAGAGATAGGGAGAGTGTCTCTTGGTTTTGCAGATCCACGGTGGACAGCGGTGAGGTTGTAAAGGTTTTACGGTGGTGAGATGAAAAAAATGAAAGAGAATCGACATAGATTTTCGTGTCATTTCCCACATACGGCGCCAAATGTTGATGCACAAAACCAGAGGTCTTGGAACAACGTAAATCCGACTGTGAATCTGCAAGAAAGTAAAGAACACAAGGTGTATCGTGGTTCATTCCAATGTTTGGGCTACGTGCACACTGATGTTAAATGTATTTCTCTGTATGATGCATATACAAGGAAGCTATATGCAGTGTGCTCTCTAGCCTACTTTATGTGTGCTCTCTTCCCATGGCCTAAACTTGGCCTCAATCTTGGCCTCTCCCCAATGAAGAGAGTGAGGAGTCATTTTATAGAACAATGACTCATCACTTATTACATATTTGCCTCTTCATTTATTACATAATTACATTTAAGTCTTCCGAGTATTTATACGAGGTCTAAATACGGAGGCTCTAAGTATGGTACAAACAACTTAAATTTGTGATTAAAATGTGTTTGGTATTGAAGATAGAAGATACGAATGAATGAATACACACACACACACATACATACATACTAGCATATGGGCACACACAAAGTGTGTGAGAAATTGAAGATAGAAGATACGAATGAATATATATATATATACACACACACACACATACGCATATGGGCGCACACAAAGTGTGTGAGAAAATTTTTTATTTTTGTTTTTGAAATAGTAGAGAGGAAGAGAGTGATAGAGAATGTGGGAGTGAGAAGTTTTTTTTTTTTTTTTTAATTTTTTAATTTTTTATTAGAAATATGTTAGTATTACATGTAAGTGAGGCTTTGAAAAAAAAAAAACAGCAAAATTTGGTTGTATGAAATTACATTTCTGCTTCATATTTCTTATTTATGTTCTGTTTTAATTAGAGGATTAAACTGATAATTTCATAAGATTTTGGTTGATAATGAGCGTTTTATTAATTAGTAGATATATATATATATATATTTATTTATTTTGAACCGTAAACTGAATAAAACAGATATAAACTGAATCGTATAATTTTAATAATAAATTTCAACAGATTCGCACCGAAGCGAATTGTCTGACAAATAAGCAGAGCACACTTTTCCAGCTTCCAAATCGAACACTATACATATATTCAACCGAAACCGGCAATTTCCATTTCCTCCATACGCAGTGCAGAAATGGCGAAACCTGACAAGTCGAAGCCCAGTATTCCCCAATACGTCCGTTCCTCCGCCAAAGTCCACCCCGACTTCGATGCCGACCCCAACTCCTACTCCCTCGAAAAATTCAAGCTCTACGAGACCAGACAGGTAACCGATTCTTCACACTCTCTCTCGCTCGAATTCTTCATTCCTCTCCAATTGACGCTCTCAGTTCCAGCGATTTTACTTGATCGGAAGCGATCGGAACAAGCGCTTCTTCCGGGTCTTGAAAATCGACCGCTCGGAGCCCGACGATTTGAATATCAGCGAAGACCCGGTTGTGTACTCGCCGCAGGAGATCAAGAGCCTGCTGCAGCGAATCGCCGAGGGAAATCGCGCCACCGGCGGCCTTACTTTTGTCGCCAAGGTTTTCGGGATCGCCGGTCAGTGTCTTAGACCTCAATTTTACTAGAGATTTATGAACTACCTGCTTGTGTGTTTGTATTTACTCTGTGTATGGGGTTTTGGTGTTTTTGGTAGGTTGCATTAAGTTTCTGGAATCGTATTACTTGATTTTGGTCACCAAGCGTCGCCAAATAGGAAGCATATGTGGTCATGCGATTTATAGCATAGATGAGAGCCAGTTGGTTACTATTCCGCACGTCACGATTCAAACTGATGTTGCTCATTCTAAGACCGAGTTGCGGTAATTTTCTCCCTTGTTTTCATGTTTCTCTGTTGTCTGGATTGTTAAATGATAGCATAAATGTGGCAGAGATATATTTGATTTGATTAGAGATATACGGTCACTGGGTTATTTTAATCGTATAATCAGCATGGCCTCTCACCAGGGTTTCATACATCGGGCTTGCATACTACCAAGAGGCCACAAAGAGTACCTGAAAGAATAAGATAGGAAGGGTGAGGTTACCCAACAAGGGTCCCGACGGTGTGAAATTTTTCTTCAAAGTTTTATGGGGCTCCTTGAGTCATTATTACACCAGTGTTCCTTAACACATGGAAGAAAGAAACCCTGACTTATATTTATTAGTGTCCTGTTAGAGGAGTGAGAGAGTTTGCTTTGGGGGTTTACCTTTATTTGCTTAGATGGACAAAGTCATGGTTGTACAAATACACTGTTCACGAATGACACTGCTAATGATTTCTCGTAGTGACTACGTGGAAGTTGGATTGGGAAGGGGTTAGGTGACCTCCAGTAACTTAGGATAGTAAATGGAGAAGGGTGTGAATTTGATGTTAGAAAGTTACTGGCGAAGCAAATGCCATAAGCTGTGGAGACCTTTAATGTGAGAACTATGCAGTTAATCTGTGATCATTGGAAAATGCATAGACTTCTGTTTTACTTAATATCCCACTTGTGGATGGGCTAAGGAGTGTTCCCTCCATTATTTAATTGTTTCATATCTAAAACGGAAAAATATATTGTAACGGGACTCTGAATGCTTAATTTTACTCAACTTCATGGTCACCAACTAATATACTTCCTAATTCAACTTCTATAGAATTTACTTATATTTTTCATTCTTAATTGTAGGTACAAGAAACTTCTATCCAGTGTTGATTTGACCAAAGATTTTTTCTATAGTTACACGTATCCTATAATGCAGAGATTGCAAAAGAATGTGTTAGCAATGGGCGAAGAAGGGATGCCGTATGATAATATATTTGTATGGAATGCCTATCTAACACAAGCTATTCGATCAAGGTGCAATAACACAATCTGGACAATAGCATTGGTGCATGGCCATTTTAAGCAGGTATGAAACACACACACGCAATCTCTCTCTCTCTCTCACTGTATGTGCGTGGTAAGGAGATTGTTTTGGTTAGCGGAACCCATAGACAGTTTTAGCCGGCCGAAAAGGACATTGTTTTCGATTTACTCTACATTTTAACCAAAACAATTTGGTTATACCATATCTATTCTTTTTTAGTGAACTTATATCTTGTGTATTTACTTCCCATGCTACATATGTATTTACCTTTTGCCGAGGGATTTATGAGTTTAGGCTTTTTGACTGATGCTTTAGGTGTCTGATGGACTGGTCGCCCATGTTTCTTGTATTTCTTTATGTTTTTTCTAGATAAAACTTGTGTCTTCTTTGAAAAGAAAAACTTCTTAACTGAAGATGTTAAATATCTCGATTAAGTTTATTTTACTTCGTTATGGCAGATTAGGCTATCAATCTTTGGTAGGGACTTCAGTGTTTCTCTGGTCTCTAGACGCTCTCGGCATTTCGCAGGAACACGGTATGTGGTAGTTTGAATATCACACCACACCATCTTCATTTTTTCTAATTATTCACATAGCTGTCCACATGGCATATAAAAACAAAAGTCAAAAATTTTCAGCTATACATTTTTCTTTAATTTAAGAAAAGGTTCAAGTTTTTTGTTTTGAGGGTGAAATTTCACTGGTATTAGCTTTGGTAATGTTTTGAGATACAGAAATTTCTTGTATTAATCATGTTTTCGATTGTGTTGCAGTTACTTGAAAAGGGGAGTGAATGATAGGGGAAGGGTTGCAAATGATGTTGAGACAGAGCAGATAATCCTCGATGAAGAAGCTGGCTCATGCAAAGGAAAAATGAGTTCTGTTGTCCAGATGCGTGGCTCGATTCCCCTTTTCTGGTCACAAGAAGCTTCAAGACTTAGTCCTAAGCCTGATATTATATGTAAGAACAGATGCATATTAATTTCATTCGTTCTGAATCATATGCTACATGTCACATACATTGTTACAAGGGTCATTGGAATTAATCATTTTTTGCATGTTTTTATTCTGACTTTAGTACAGAGATATGACCCCACATATCAAGCTACCAAACTACATTTTGAAGACCTGGCAATGAGATATGGCAACCCAGTTATTGTGCTTAATTTGATCAAGGTTTGTTTATTTCTAAATGGCTTCTGAACAGATGCTGGGACAACGTTTATTGTTAGTCGTTACTCTTTACTATTACTGCATGCGATGGGACAACATTTTTATGTGTTGGATGACCAATTACTATTTTATTCTTCTTGTTTTCGTTTTAATTAAATGGGGGTGGGGGATTCAATAAATGTGCAATTCAGATCATTATGAAACACCCCCTTGTTTCATTATGTTGTACCTTTTCCAACATTGGGAAGGGATATACCACTAGACCGAGAGCTAGTTGGTTATTGGATATTTATCATAAACAACCTATGCAATTTTTTCAGCCAACCTATGTAAACTCTAATAAACTAGTAGGAAGAGAAAGAATACAAAACTAGAAAATTCTGACAATGATGCCGAAGTTTCTGGTTAATAGTTAAAAGTGAGGTTTTATAAGTCTTCCTGTTGTACGAGAGAAACATTAGTTTACTGTGCATCTATTCTGCAGGGGCTAATATTTATGTGATAGCTGTCGCCACATAGTAGATCCTTTATTTAATAAATTTGGTTATTTATAGAATGAGTTGTAGCTATTTGAGGATTGTGTAAGTATGGTGTAATATTGTGGGGCAATATTGAAAATAGAATGCATCTCTTGTTTCTCACATCTCTCTGATGTTCAGTATAAGTTGATGATTTTTTCTGTGCTTCTGATCTACAGTGATTGAGTTTTCTACTCGTGTGCGTGTCTGTGTCTGTGTCTGTGTCATAGGGAGGTTGCGGTTACGAGGATGTTAATTGGTAAAAATATTTTTGGTGCCGAATTCTTTTATAAGCACTATTTGACTTGTAGCCTACTCTGGATACATGCATACATACATGCATACATAGAGATAAATATTTTGCTGGCATTACAAGTTAAGCTATATTTATCAGTTGCCCATCATGCAATTTTTTTCTTCTTATTTTTCGTTTCACGTGTCATGCAATTTTATTGTAGACTGTCGAAAAAAGGCCTCGAGAAATGATGCTGAGGCGTGAGTTTGCAAGTGCAGTTGGGTACTTGAATCAAATATTTTCGGAAGAAAACCATCTTAAATTTATTCACTGGGACTTTCACAAGTTTGCAAAAAGGTAGCCAGTTGAATTTTCATTTTCCTTTTGTGTTTTTTTCTTTTTTTGCTTTTTTTGGCAAAGTGGACACAGACACACACACCTATGATGCACAGATAGATATAGGATACATGATTAAATACCATACAAAAAGTCTCCTAAAACTAGAATAAGGATAGGGGAATAAAAAAAATGCTGTATCATATGTATATGTGTGTGTGTATATATATATTTATGAGAATAGGGTAAACTGCATCCCTATCTGGTGTGGTGCAGGCTAGTTCTATGTTTTTTTTGTCTTTTATGGTTGGTTGCAATCATAAAAAAGTATGAAAAGCATATTCCCCTTTTTTGTTTTGTCAAAAACCAGTAAGCACAATTGAACCAAAATTCTTTTTCCTTTAGATGAACCATTATAGGAGCCCCACACAACTGAAATAAGACATACGCATAGTATTGTGGGGGAGTGGATTCTTCTTCAAGACCTAGAAAGTCTTTACGGAATTGTATTGATCCATTTGGAGTATTTGATACGTATCGGGCCATATTGGTATCCAATTCTCCATATAAAGAATGACTAATTCTGTTTCATAGGCTTGCAGATTTGTATATGTATTTATTATGTCCATGTATATATCATTTACATAGGTATACATCATTTTGCTCCCACATTTTTACCTTGCTAAGAAGTAGACTTATTTAGCAATAGATATCTCTGCAATGCTTTCAATTCAACCATCTCTAACTGTTTGTGTTTATATTTGTTTTCTTCGGTCTAACTGTTCTCTATCTTTTCTGCTTCCAAAGCAAGTCTGCCAATGTTTTAGCAGTTTTGGGTGCTGTGGCAAGTGAGGCGCTTGATTTGACTGGTTTTTACTACAGTGGCAAACCTAGCGTTGTTAAACGGAGGCTCAATCAATTAAGTCGGACAAGCACGGGAAGGTATGCAATTTTTATGTTGGTTTCTTAGTTTTTGCAATTGTTATTGGAATGATGGAATCATATCATAGATATGAATCACAGTCCTTTTTGTATTGGGAAAATAAAATGAAGTTGTAACGCTAGTTGTACGGTTTAGCCTAATTTCTGATTTCCATGCATATTTCTGGTGACATGTCTATTAATAAGAGTTACAGTTCATGCATGCTATATTTTGAAGTTACACCCTTTTTTTCCAATTCTTTCATGCTGGTTCTCCAGTAAACAATGCACAATTATAAATATTGAATCATTGATCTACCCCAATATTTGCTGGTTCAGTGATTTGCTAACTGTATTCTCAAGATTGGTTCATTGCACTTAGATTGTTATCCTTGAATCAATTTGTATCAGATAAGTTTTAGTAGGCAGACAGGTGCCAGACATCCTATTGAGGAAACACAATCTTGCTTTACTGTGAACTTCTTACTTATAGGGTTTGGTTGGGAGTACTTCTATACGGAGTAATGTAGTTTTGTTTGTACTGCTTTTATTAGAAATTTAGAAGCATTTAAAAAACTCAAGTGCTTCATGCATATTTTGTTGGAGGCACTTCCACAGAAAATTTATAAAGTTCTTCTTAAAGAAGCAGTAAAATGCTTCTCTAAACTCAAAATTGTACCTGTTTATATTTAAATCATACACTTTAGAAGCACTTTGGCACTGTTCAAAGCACACCCGAACACATCTAGTCCTCCATAACCAACATGGATCCTGATATAACCCAATTGGTGCTGGTTCAGTTCAACAGCTCAGTTGGTCATTCATCTAATGCAGAAGTTAGGTGCTATGGTGCAAGTGAGCGCCAAATTTTTGTTCCAGGGAGAATTAGTTTTCTTTGTGATACAAGCTTCTTGCTTGTAGGCCCTGTTTGGGTGTTTGTAAAACTGCTTTTGTTATAATAAGAATTGTGTACTGCTTTTGTTAGAACTTAGAAGCATATAAAATATCCTCATGACATCTGAAGTGTAAATGATTGGTAAGTAAAAATCCTTTTTATATTGTAAAATTTCTCTATGTTACATGTTCTCAAATTTTTTCCACGGATAAATATGATTAAAGGTGATAGTTTTTGCATTATCTAAAATTTTAACATTTCCGTATATTGTTATGCTAAGATAATGATAAAGAAGTCATATAATAATTGCAATCTGAATTGCTGATAATAAGAAAAATAAGCCTAACTACTTCTATTAGGACTGAGACGTATGACGGCCATCAATTAGTTGTGGACTGTTTATGTAGATATTTATGTGGAGAAACGTCATGGTTCTTGATGATGATGTATTTCTATCATATTAAACCTGTGGCCTGGTACAGAGCACCTTAACAGTGATTTTAGAACACTCCAGTACATGGAAGAATTATTTCAAAATGAGTCAATTGTTTTACGTACTAATTAACTCTGGTATAACCGTATAAGACTGAACTAGTATTTCTTTTAAATCAGAATTCCAAACGCTGGGGACGTTCCAAGGTTTGAAAGCAGTAATGAAACTCTAAATTCTTCTGTTAATCGGGACAGGGAATCTGATATTATGCAACAGAAGAAAAATGATAATTTTAGTGGTGAACCACCACATTTTCAAAGCGGTGTTCTGCGCACGAATTGTATTGATTGTTTGGATCGTACAAATGTTGCCCAGTATGCTTATGGCCTTGCAGCTCTAGGCCGCCAACTTCATGCAATGGGTTTGACAAATCTGCCCAAAGTGGATCCTGATAGCACTATTGCTGCAGCTCTCATGGATATGTACCAGAGCATGGGAGATGCTCTTGCACAGCAGTATGGTGGCTCTGCAGCTCACAACACCGTATGTTCTTATTTTCTTCTTGGGTTAGAGTATGCATATTATCAGTTACTTGATGTGATAGATCAACCCCTATATTTCTAACGCGAAGTTAAAAACAAAAGAAACCTCTATAACTCTAATAAGATGTCCACTGAAAAGGAAAAAAAATCACATTGTGGTGAAATAAAAAGATGAATATAATGCTTCCGATAGACGGACATTGGGTGAGGATCATCCTTGATTGGGGAACCTGAAAGACGGTTTGGATCATTTCACCACATTGTAGGGTGGGTGTTAACAATGTGGTCCTCTCAACTTAGGTTTTTCTTGAGAAGTTTATAAAGACATATAAACAATAATAGTATAATTCATGTAGTGGACAAGGAGTCCACCTTTTGATGCAATCTACAACAAATATTTAATATATTTATGTTTCTCTGTTTGTATGTGCTTGTGTAAGAAGTATGTGCGCACATGCGTATAGATAGATTTCAAATTCATATTTATCTTTATTTTTTCTTCCTGAAACCTTTTCCTTATAACGAATGCTAGGTATTTCCTGAGAGGCAGGGAAAGTGGAAAGCTACAACCCAATCAAGAGAGTTCCTGAACTCTATTAAGCGATACTACAGCAATGCTTACACTGATGGTGAAAAGCAAGACGCCATAAATTTGTATTTGTTCATCTCTCTTATAGTTTCTAATGAAATTTATTTTTCTATTTTTAAGTATTACCTGCTCTTTCCTGTAGCAACAGATGAGGCTTATTACCTACTACGATCTCCACCAATTCAGATAAAATAAAATATACTGATTGATCTTGATCATTAGCTTCTCCATTCTGCATTAAGAAATAGATGCATCTCTGCATATGTGAACTCGTTGTGTTGCTGCAGTAGTTGTATATTGTGTTTTGAATGTCTCGAGGAAGTGTAACTTTATGTTGTATTATTTCACATTGAAATGATGTTGTATTATAGTATGTCATATTATGTTGTACTGTATTATATCTCTCTGTGTTGTAATTTACTATACAATGCTATATTGCACATTGTTATACCGTCTTTTGCCTTAAAAAAAAGGTTCTAATACCTTGATCTTTTTGTGGGTTTTACCAGATTTTTGGGTTACTTCAAACCACAGGAAGGGAAACCTGCTCTCTGGGAGCTGGATTCTGATTACTATCTTCATGTATCTGGAATTGATGACCCTCTCTTTGATGTGAGGTAAATCTCTATGTATCTAGAATTGGTGACCTTTGTACATGTCTATGCACCTTGTACATCTACAATTACCTGTCCCAATCGGTTTTTCCAAGTCTTCTGTGAAGTTAATGTTTCATTTTAATCTCCCATTTTTTACAATAAGATTCTTGATTTTCAACTTTTCAGTTCACAAGGAAATGATACACGCTTAGGAGGAATGGGAGACACTCTTGCCCCTATTCCTGCTTGCAGAGAAGATTTTTTGAGGATGAAGTTGACATCCTTTGATAAATTGATTGAAAGGACATGTAGTTCAATAAAGGATGTTAGACTTTGTAGTGAACCAGATCAAAGACCAGGCGGTAGTACTGCAAATTCAAGTGTGGCGCCTGATGCAGCGTAATTATATTCAACCTAAGCAGTTTTTACCCCTATGTTTATCATCCTATTGTGATTTGATTATTCATCTGTCTTAGGTTATCCTGTACACTTGGGAACCAAGGCAAATTCTTGTAGTAGTTACTGAACATTGGAATTCTTTTCTTTTTTCTTTTTCAGTGAAATACAGTTGAAAAGCCCAAATTGGCTTTTTGGCCAGAGAAAATACGAAGAAAGTGGCTCTGCACCAAAAGTTACTTCACATGAAATCGGTAATGGAGGATCCCATAACGAGACAGGGGTTGATGGATTTTGTGACTTGAATTGGCTTGCATCTGAAGCCAATGATACTGAGGAGGATATCTTCCAGAGGTATGCTATATGGAAATGCTTTTACATTGGCACCGGAGGAGAACCTCCCATTTGTCTGTTTCTTTTGCTTAAATATCTCCAGAAACATGAAGGTGTTCTGTATCTCTATGTAGATGGCTTATACAGTGTTGTTATTACCGTAACGTCTAATATAAGTGGGGTGCTAACCAAGTTAAGGAAAATAAAAGAAAGTAACTATAGCAGAAGAAATTTTGATAATGGAGTAGTTTGATCTGGGTAATTAAGATGTTTGGGAACTCTATGTTACTATTTGTTGGCATCATCAACTACATAGACAAAAAGATTTACATATACACAGATAAAATCTGTTGAATCATAAATGTTTCATTTCTTTATTCCATGATTTCCAGCAATCTGTATGCATATATTTAGTTTCGTATAAAAGGCCTCTGCGGTATCCTATGGAGTGTATTTGTTGATCATGTATTTCTCTGCTGCAATTCCAAGGTACCTTTCAATGACATCAGTAGATGAAACCAATGGGTGGTACGGTGGGACACTGCTAGGTGATCAAGATGAAAACAGTGAGATATATAAGCACTATGCTGAGTTATGTCAGGTATAGCACTTCTAATTTTCCAAACATGGACAGGTGTGGTATATCCTTTAAACTTTAAAGTCTGACATAAGTTTGTGCAAAATAATGAATGTGCTTTTTTCTGGTCTTTGTGTTCATTAACTTCATTCTCTGACCAGAAAATTGAAGAAACATAATTATAAATTTCTTTCTGTAGTTGAACCCTGTAGGTTAACACTTTAGTTAACGGATAGGTCTGTATGCTGCACATCGAAGTGTACCGTTTGGGCATAGTTCAATGAAGTTTACTTCTTGAAAGTAAACAAAGAAAAAATGCTAACATTTGTATAAACAGTTAACCATTAACTCCCTGATTTCTCTATTGTTGTTTGGTTACGAGGTTTAGAGTTTAGGGATCAAGGATTGGGGCCTAATTTTGAGGTTTGATTTGGGGCCCATGCCAGGGACCTAGGATTTGCGTCTGTGATCTGTTTTTGGATTCTGGGGTCCATGTTAGGGTGGTTGGGTTTGATGTCCGGATCCCTGGCTTGAAGCTTTGGTCTGCGGTCTGTAGTTCAGGGTTCAAACAACACCTACTACATTGAAATCCCTGCATCCCGAAATGGGATTTTGACTCTAAAATCCATCTATAGAAGCACAATTATCATGTCAGGTTTCCAAACAAAATGGCATTGTTCAACACCAATAGACACCTGAATCTCTTTCAAATGCACGATAGAAGTTTTACATCTTGCATGGTTTTCCGATATTTCATCGAAGTTTGACACTCTTGTATATTGAGCTTAGAATATACTTTTTGTTCCAGTTAGGCCTGGAGGACATGTTCTTTTTCTCCTACTTCTCACATATGTGGTACATTTGATTTCCTTAATATTGTGAAATGCTGCAACGTGCAGGGCACTGGCATTGAGCCTTTCAAAAATGATGGTGAAATGGAGAAGCACTATGCTGATGCTCTTCATATGGGAACAATTAACATTGTAGATGATGCAGCTGTTGAGGTAGAGATGGAAGCCGCCCTCAAGGAATACGACCAAATTAGTAGTGATCTCGGGAGCATCCCTGCATCGTGTAAATCGTTAGCAGAAGATCCGAGCTGGTTGACGAGGTGGATCATTGGTGAAGAGAAAGTTGAGAGGATTTGAAGAGAGATATTTGGTATTGCGTATACTTTTGATTTTTGTTTCTTCCATTGTTTCTTAACTATGAATGCAATCGTAGAGATAAATGAAGTGTAAGAGGCAAATATTTTGAGTAAATCGTGCGATGTACATGGCTGTAGCATCGAACATGTGAATATATGTAAATACAATTTGTTCAAAATCAGTTCCAAGTTTCCAATTTCATGAAGTCCGATAACTCCTCATATTCCATGTTAGGGGTCCATGTTTAGGGTGGTTGGTACCCGGGAATCTGATATAGAGGAGTTATCGGACTTCATGGCATATGCAAACCTGGGAGGGATTATTTGAGCTGGTTGAAGGCCTGCCAGCGGCAGTTTTATACACGACAATACTCCAATGTTTTCATCTCTCGGTTGGAACTTGGAGGGTTATGGGATGCGAGGGGTTTGCTACATTTTTAATGAAGCATTCCCTAAAATATAGGAAAATCCCCCTCTCTCTCTCTCTCTCTCTCTCTCTCTTGAAAGAAACAATAGTCAATCTCTACCAAGTATTAAATATCGATGATATCGGAAATATCGGTAGTTCAAAAACACGGAAATATCGATGGAAATATCGGGATATTATCGATATCGATAAAAATAATATGGAAACCATGGAAATTGTAAGAAAAACTTGGAAATTTTTATTGAAACTTTGCAGGATGTTTATTTAGTCAATTATTTATTAATTTATCACAAAAAATTGGAAGGAAATGCTTTGCATGATGGATTTAACTGATTTAAGTTGATTATATAACGAGTTGGCAAACATGATGGATTTAAAGGATGTTTATTTAACTGATTTGAGGTGACCCAACCACACACACACAGACACGCCACCACACACGCACACAACACACGCACGCAGACAAAGACTCCTCAGTCTCTCTCTCTCTCGATCCTTCTTCTCTCTTCTCTCCCTTCTCCCTAGATTACACACGCACACAACACACGCACGCAGACAGAGACTCTTCAGTCTTTCTCTCTCGATCCTTCTTCTCTCTTTTCTCCCTTCTCTCCCACACACACGCATAGAGATCTGTCGATCTCTCTTGTCCCTTCTCCCACACACACGCACAGAGATCTGTTGATCTCTTTTCTCCTTTAGCCTTGTCGGCGTCGTCTCTCGAAACTCTCCTTTCTCTTTGCACCGAGTCCGAGACCCACATACACACACGCACACCATCGCACCTGCTTCAGGAAGACACCCATCGTCATCAGCAACCTCGTCTTTCTCCCTCTCCTTCTCGTCTCTGCAACTCGGCGAACGCAGGAACTTCGGCGAGTTTCTTGAATTTATCCGGTTAGGTAAGCTTCGGTTTACCTCTTTCTGTTCCACATTAAAGCTTCTATGTGAAATTAAGTTCAAAATCGTGTTTTTGCAAGGTTTTTAGGACGAAATCAGCTCGGGTTCACACAGATCCATCTCCGGCGTTCTTCTCTGATTGGCACAGATCCAAGATATCGCGATAATTTCGGAAATATTGCGATATTATCGATAATATCGCGATATTTTGACGAAATCTCATTGGATAAGCATTAAAATATTGTTAACTTGAAAAACCGATATTATCGGCAAAATATCGCCGATAATATCGGCATTTGAGACCATGATCTCTACATAAATTGTAGAACCCAAAATAAATGTTGATAAACGATAAGAATCTCTCGAAAGTAGGACTTTCCATAGACTCTCTGCAGCTTTTTTTTTTCCTTCAGTTTTGTCACAATTTCCGTGCGAATGAACAATATTTGCCTACTCAAAGAAGTAGTAGGAGTTCCTACTCAAATTTATTCATTGTCGATTTATAAAACTTCATTTTTATAATCAGAATCGTTTATAGTATAAATCACTCTATAAAGATCCCTTTTGTAAAAAAATGAATTAAAACTAAAGTCGTTTAGTCATTGAAGTGTATAAAAAAAATACACATAATTGGTAAAAGTATTACGAACCGTCTATGTATTTGTTATAATAGATGAACTAAATGACCTTAGTTTTGATTCATTTTTTACAAAAATTATCTTTACAGTGTGATTTATAATATGAACGATTTTGATCATAAGCGCAAAGAATCTCCTTAAATGTTTTAATAAGATTCCATTGCCAAGAATAGCAATGTGTCAAAGCAGTGATAGGCATGGATAAAAAATAAAGACAACCATCATATAAAATGAATATAAAATAAATATAAAAACAACATGAGTCTCCAATTGATCGGAAAGTGAGTCCTTATGACTCACCATATACTTGGTTATATATGTACTTATATATAGAGACATTATGGAATTCGATCCTCGCCGGATCCCCTTCCTGAGATCCAAGGGATCAGTGCATGTAGATCGTTGATCAAAAATCATGAGGACATAATTTTTTTCCTTTTTTTTTTTAATATTTTTCACACAAAACGAGACTGCTTTACTTTTAAAAATATAAAAAGCATTAAATTAGGACCGCACGCTTTTTTATCAACAATCCACGTGCGTTGATCCCTAGGATCTCCAGAAAGGAGATTCGGCGAGGATCCAAATCCACACACTATAAAGACAAAACCATAAGGACCTAGTTTCTTTGCCCTCCCACTTCCCATACACTTTTATCCCTTCCTATTTGTGCGGTCACGGTTAAGCTATGTCAACATTTTATATTAATATTGTTTTTTATCTTATTATCTCTATAAAAAAATTAATATAAAATATTAACGTGACTTAATCGTAACCGCACAAAATAGGAGGAGATGAGAGTGTATGAGAAGTGGAAGGGCAGAGAAGCCGGATCCAACCGATAAATAAAAAAGGGACCCACAACCTTAATTGCTGCAGACAGCTAGACTCACTGCAGGCGCGGGTCCCAGCGCATCAGTGCGTTTTATCTTTCTTTGCATGGATTCTGAATCAAAGGTCCCTATTTAAAGTTTGTTACCATTGGGAAATCAACGATTTTTATTAGTTTTTAATGTTATGACAGCTGCACCATTACTGCTTAATCAATCTCACCTTAATTGGTTTTAATGTTTTTTTATTCCATTATGTGCCCATACGTACCTAATCAATTTGTAAAGACAACCTAATAATGATACAATTTTAGAGACGTTTTTGTGAAGAAAAACAAAATGAAGTCAGAATTTGAATTTTTTTTTAATAAAATGTTTACAAAAATATTTTATGACGACATAATGTTAAATTAATTAAAAAATAATAATATAAACAAAATTGTGCAGCTAATTAAATGATCACATAAAATCATAAAAACATCAAATTTAGGAATTCTACTATAAGGACTTTCTCATTAGAGGCAATATTCCTTTAAAGACACAAAAATTCTCTTTAAGTCCTTAAAAGAGGTGCGTTCTACTATACTATATTGAACCAACCACCTACGTTCGTTACAGCACCTTCGCCCCTACATACATAAAGGAATCGAGGTTTGGAACCCTTTTCTAAATGAGTACTCAAAGTAGTGATGAAAGTCCCTAAATAGGGACTCCCATTGGAGAATTCTCCATGCCCAATCCCAATGGAGAACGGCTTTCCCGCCCCGCCTCATTACAAAACATTAAAATATTAGTTTTGTAATCTTAAATAATTTTTTTGGGCAAATTAACTCTTATAAAACTATTTTAGGAGAAGTTTGTATTAAATATATAAGTAAATCATATTTTATAACTTTAGTTTTGGGTCATAATAACAAATTCATAACTCATCTCTTAAACATCGTAATGTAGTACATAACTTACGAATTATGTGAAACTCCGTCCCCAAATTTCACTGTTTAAAATTAGGTATTTTATATTCTTAGTTTCGACACATTTATATTTGCGGCATTTAATTTTTTCCTGAAATGGATATAAGACGAAAATGCCTCTCCTATGCTAAACAGGATTTTACATGGACATATTTAATCCTTTCATATTTTTCTACTGTTCTTGGCATATTTAGATAGTACGTGTTACTATGAATGCGTAAGTGCAAACAGATTTGAGTTTGAAATTCCATTGAGAAAGTTACGAAGTTTCTAAATAAAAGGGTATTTTGGTAAATTCGAATGGAACTTTCTAGAACCCAATGGCTTCCTTTTTCTTCTTCTCTGCGTGTAAAACCAGCAGCTCTGTTGCTGTTCTTGATTTTTTTTTATCTCTTCTCAATTTGGCTCCCCTAACTTTAAATATTCACATTTTTTTAATTCGGTTATCGTTTCGACAAATCTTATATCAACATTTAAGCCTCATTAACACCAACACATTAGCCCCTCGATTTTCCCTCAAAATGACCACGCAAGACAGAACGAAGGCAAGAAAGGAAGCAAATCCCGCCGAAGAAACAACAAATTTCGGCCAATTCATCGGAATCTGACTTTAAGCCAAGGGAGAAGTTTAATTCTCTTCTTATGGCCTTCCTTTCTATGTAAGTGGTTTCCTTTATTTAATTATTTTTAATTGGGTTGTGGATGCACTGTTGCTTATTTTATTTAATAAAAGAAAATGAATGCGTGGTTAAATCATTGATTGTAGTTTGGTCTTGTCTCGAAGATGAGACATGATAGATAAACAAGAATGTGGTGACGTAATGTGTGTCGATCTTGAACGTATGTCGGGATCGGAGCGTGACAAATTCGTTGCAATGATAGAAGTATTGTCACACAGAATTGAAGTTGATTTAACTTGTTCTTTTTCAAGACCTCCAAGAATATGATGGAGATAATGGCGTAGTAATTCATAACCCTTTTCAATGCTGCCAGACGCTACTGAAGTTGAAGGCCCCCTTGTTGTCGGTTCTTGAAAAGCTTACCCTACTTGGAGAAGGAGAAAAATTTACTCCTTTGGAATCCACTCAATAACAATTTCATGGAGATCGAAGGAATGGACAACACAATAGCTTACGGCTTCGTTTTTCATTTAACGATTTCTTCCTTCTGAAACTGATACCTCCGATTTCAAAGATCCTAACTTTTCAGGTGTGGGTTCTTGGAGCATTATATCTGGTTTTAAGTTCATGGTACTCCATCCGTTCGGAACAGTTATGGGAAACACTGTCTTTTGGAGGGGTAAATCTTTGACGCTCAAAGGTTTTGTGGCTTTTAGTGTCGAGAAGGGCACCATTTCAATGCTCAATTTGTCGGCTGGCAGTGGCGGTATTGATAGCTTGATGGTTGGCGATGTGGGGAGTCACTTTTTACTTGTCAATATGATGAATAACTCAATTTGTTAAAATCTGGCGATTAGAAGGAGATGATGATGGTAATCCATGAGGATGGACTACCATTGCCACTCTTTCTAACTCTAGTAGAACTCGCGCCATTGGTATCCCGCAGAGAGTGTATCCCTTAGCACTCTCAAAAAATGGAACTTCGCTCAAAGTCCTAACAGTGTGGAGATGCAATTGAGCCTCAAAACAGATTGCTTTTCCATGACTGAACCATCCGCCGAGATACAGTGCTTTCAACATATTTGCTAGAATGGTTCCGATATGAAGAGAGAGGAAGTAGCTGCACAAGTGAAAGAATACGAGAGGAAGAGCAAAGACATGAAAGACTCTTCGATAGAGAGAGAAGAATCAGAGAGGATGAGGGGCTATGAGAGGAGACAAGACAAAGATTGGAGGAGGGGCTATGAGGAGACATGACAACATAAGGAAGAGGGAGAAAGAGAAGGATAGGAGAGAAGACAGAAAAATGAGAGGATATCCAAGAGGTAAATTCTATACAGATCTTTTCATTTGGTAGGTTTTCTATACATAACTTATCTCTGGTAATAGCGAATTGTTTCATGTTGCTTCTTTCACAGTAAGCTACATTTTTGTGGTTTGAGTTTTAGTTTATTATGATATGAATCATCAAGCTCACCTTTAGTCTCTGTTTGTTTCAGATTGTCACAGTTGGTCTCTGCCTAAGTAGATACTTTAATTAGCAGTAGGTTGTGTTTTTAGTTGAGTGGAGTTTATGGAAATCCCATATTTACTATTTATCTTTAATTGCTGCAGTTTATGAAGACAGGACAGAAATAGTGACGAGAGGGAAAGACCCGAGGAAGACAGAGAAGGAAGGCATCATAAGGGGTAATTTCTATGCAACTTTGTATGTCATTTGGTAGGCGCTTATGGACACACTTTGTTTTATGTTGTAACATGGAATGTTACAACATTTCCATGTTCCTATGATACCTGTTAGTCTATTAAGATGGAGAATCTCCTAGAGATGCTTTATTAAATTCAGTGTCATTAACTGCATCAAATGGTCAATCCAATTTAAGTCTTTGTTGAATTTCAATTACAAGTTTGTGTTTTAAGTTTTATTTTATTGTGGCTTGAATCATCCAGGCTCACCTTCAATCTCTGTTGGTTTCAAATTGTCACAATAGGCTTGTACCATTGTGTTCATATCATTATTTCCTCCTGTGGAAGAAGCAACAGGAAACAAAGATACGAACACAATGATACATGCCTAATATGACAATCTGAAACCGACAGAGACCGAATGTGAGCTAGGATGATTCAGGCTACAATAAAATAAAACTCAAAACAAACTTGTAATTGAAATTCAACAAAGACTTAAATTGGATTGACCATTTGATGCAGTTAATGTCACTCAATTTAATAAAGCATCCCTAGGAGATTCTCGATCTTAATAGGCTAACTGGTATCATAGGAACATGGAATGTTATAACATGAAAAACAAAGTGTGTCCATAAGTGCCTACCAAATGAAATACCAAGTTGCATAGAAATTACCCCTTATGATGCCTTCCTTCTCTGTCTTCCTCGGGTCTTTCCCTCTCACCACTCTTTCTATCATGTCTCCATAAATTGCAGCAATCAAAGATAAACAGTTAATATGGAGTTTCTATAAACTCCACTCAACTAAAAACACAACCTACTGCTAATTAAAGTATCTACTCAGGCAGGGGCCTACTGTGACAATCTAAAATAGACAAAGACTGAAGGTGAGCCTGTAAACTAGAACACAAAACTTGTAGTATTACTGTGAAAGAAGCAACAACAAACAATTCACTATTACCAGAGATAAGTTATGTATAGAAAACATACCAAATGAAAAGATCTGTACAGAATTTACCTCTTGGATATCCTCTCATTTTTCTTTCTCTCCTATTCTTCCCTTTCTCCCTTTACCTTATTTTGTCATGTCTCTTCTCATAGCCCCTCCTCCAATCTTTGTCTTGTCTCATCTCTCCCTTCCTTTCTCCCTCTACCTTATTTTGTGGCCAGAGAAAATATGAAGAAAGTGGATCTGCAGCCTCAGCACCAAAAGTTACTTCACATTAAATTAGTACTGGAGGATACCATAACAAGACGGGGGTTGATGGATTTTGTGACTTAAATTGGCTTTCTTCTGAAGCGAATGATGAGGAGGAGGATACCTTCCAGAGGTATGCTTTATGGAAATGCCTTTACGTTGGCATAGGAGGAGAACCTCCCATTTGTCTGGTTCATTAGCTTAAATATCTTCAGAAACATGAAGGTGTTGTTCATCTCTTTGTAGATGGCTTATACATTGTTGTTCTTACGGAAACCTCTGTTGTAAGTGGGGTGCTAAGAATATATTGAAATGGTTATAATAAGGATAATAAGAGAAAGTAACTATGGCAGAAGAAATTTTGATAATGGAGTAGTTTAATCTGGGTAATTAATCTGGGTAAATAAGCATAATTTCAATTGTAATTTCAATTTTTTTTTATTATCTCTACTCAGGAATTTCATTTCCAGAGAGAAAAATGCCACCTTCACTAGTGGTATATACACAATGAGGAGCAATATGTATAAGCAATTCCGTAGAGAGAGAAATAGCATATAAAGCTTGGACAGGGAAGTGAGGTTAGGAAATTTTCATAGCCTCCAAGATCAAGTTCCCTTAAAGAGATTAAGCCTTCAAATGGAGGCAATCGGTTCGTTGAGCTGAACATTTTCCATCGCACTCCCCGAGACCATAAGAGAAGGGGCAAGGACTTTGATGTTGAACTTGAATGTCCAATCCCTCACCTTTTCTGTCTCTGATAGTGGTCCCCCCTTAATATGTCGACGATGGATTTGGATCCTCTCCTGAGCTTAGGAGGCTGCGCCTTCTGAGCAAATCATGATCCAACAACTACAAACAGAAGACCTCTTTAAAAGTTATAATAATTGTAGCCATTGAATCAAAATTCAACGGCCCACGTGATTTGCTCAAGAGGCTTAGCCTCCTAAGCTCAGGAGAGGATCCAAATCCGTTGGGGAGAGCCTTTGTGGTTATGACGGTTGAGAATGAATCCCACATTGATGGGAGGAAAGACCTTGTGCTTATAAGAGGTTGGGCTACTCCTCGTATTGCTAATTGGTTTTATCATTGTACCTCAACTTTCTTCATGGTATTAGAGCATGTTGTCCCACTTGTAAAGTCTAATAGCCACACTTGTCCAAAATTGAAGTATGGTTTGTGCTCTTGGCAAGGAAATTTGAAGTTGAAGCTCGGCTAGTGACTTGTAGCAGAGTTTTTTTTTTTTTTTTTTTTTTCTTCCTCCGACGATTGCAAAATTTTCAAAGAGAAATTGGATAATCCATGATCTTTTTTTTTACTATGTACTTACTATACTAATATTGTTCCTTTCACCGTGTAATTTGATCCTTTATATCTGTTTTTTTAAGTTTGTCCTAAAATAATATATTTACTAAAAAGTATGTCATTATAATCCTGAATATCCTATAAATGTCTACAAGTAATGAGTCGTAATTTATACATTGAGATCTATATTTAATTACTATACTATTGTGGCTATATTTATCTTTACGGCTGGCCAAATTTGGCATGTGACAGATAAAATACATAAACCTTAATTCCTTTGATCAATTGACTTCCAAAATTGTCCGGATATCTCCAGTAATGCACCGAGTCTTACTCGGTTTTCACACTAATTCCTACGACCCCGCCTCTAAAATTAGCATGTACCAATTAATACAGACAATCATCATACACGTACGTTCGATCTGCTAAGATACAAAAACAAAAAAACATCTGCTACGTGAAATAAAAGGCAGCAGATATGTTAACTTCCACATTCAACTATTAGACAAACACACAATATTACAATCTCTATCTCTCTCGATTGGTGACGTTGCCTCTCTTTGGAATAATGGTCATGAGTTGTGTTGTTCCTACGGTCGTCGTCTTCTCCTCCACCACCTGCTCCTTCTGTGTCTGTGACTCCACAACAAGCATGCCCTACACCTTAATCATCCCCTCTTCTCCTCCTGTAAGTCCATTTATTTAATTTCTATATCTCAATTATATATGGTTGTCCATATTAGTTCATATACTTATGAAAGATCAAATGATATCGAACTCATTACCTATCCTAATTCTGTAACCATTTCTTTCTGTTCGGCATATGGGTTGTCTAGAGATTTCATCTTTCATGTTTACAATATTTGGCTTCATTTTGAAGCAAAACGATAGCAGTTTTATTAATGATAAAATTGATAAAAACATTTCATATATTCGTTAATTCCTTTTTTGTTAGTCTTCGATTCGGCCAGTCGAGGAAATACCATCATCTTCTTAATTCTCATTGAATTTCTTGCTTTTTGCTTAATACTACCACCTCTTCCAGTCATGCTTCAGCAGCAATAAAAATATATTTTCCACAACCATCAACTCCCAACAATCTCCGGAATGCCTCATGAAATCAAGGTTTCGCGTTAATAAGTTATTAATTAATTGTACATAAAATTAACTGAAGCACACAAATCTGAAAACAGGCCTAACCATCGGATTGTCGGGGTTTGAGCTTCTACGTTTCAAGTTTGCATGCAGATCTGTTTACTTTGTCACATTCAACTCTCGAGCTTTTCGGACGCGTATTCGTTTGCTTTTGTTGTACTTTTCCCATCTGGTTATTGCTTTTGTTTCTGGCAAAATCACTAATTTAGTATACTTTGACCAAAAATAGAAACACACAAGTCATACACTTTAGACCGTTGATCGGGATGACCATGATGTAAAAAGGTCGTACCCAGTGCACAAGGCTCCCGCTTTACGCAGGGTCTGGGAGAGGTGAATGTCGGCTAGCCTTACCCCCATTTATGGAGAGGCTGCTCCCAAGGGATGACCATGATGTGATTGAATCAAATCAATAATGCACAAGAATCCCATTTGCGGGATTGACAGTGATTGAGACAACAACAGCCATTGCATGCATGCATGCAAGACATGAAAACGCGTGGTGCAGTCTAGCATAACCACGCTGTAGGACGCGTCTACGTACTCCACACAACAATCTGATGTGTTATATAATTATTCTGGTCCCATATAGATAGTACTTACATGATTTTCAATTTGAATTCCTGTTTTAAGTTTACAGTTTCCTACGCCTATGCTTATTTATAAGGACACAAGGGACAATTTACATTGTTTCAAGGACTGCATGATAGTTTTTCCATTAAATAGAACACAAGGGACAATTTACATTGTTTCAAGGGCTGCATGATAGTTTTTCCATTAAATAAACTTGAGATGTTTATATAAAGTATCACCATATCAAGTGCTCTTTTGTAGAGATTGTTGCCCAGTACTTTAAAATAGTCATCTCGCATACTCTAATTGCCTTTTAACTTTAATAACTAGGCCGAAGTATTGGGATGTTTTTCTTTTTAGCGTAAATAGAGTGCAAATAACAGCTCGTTTTATGTTATAAATATACATATATATTATATTAATTTTGTTTTAATATATATATTTTTTAAATTCCAGGTGATTCAGCTGATTCTTGAATAGACCCACTTACCCTTGACGACACATATTTTACCTAGCTGGCCCTTGTAATTTCTAAACAGTCCATATACCTATCTTGATAACACACTTGTCAGTCTTGCATGTTTTTTCCCAATATTACAGTATGCAGATCCCCAATCCAAGGCGGATCACTAACAGTCCCATAGATTCTAGTTCATGCCAATCCCAATCCCAAATCCAATATTCTTCCTATCCTCTAGAATTTAGCATCAAGCCCCTCACAACTACTTTTGAACCCCATGAAAACCCTTCTCTTAGTAGAAGCTGCTCTTCCGCCTCCATTGATACGATGATCTCCGACTTGTTTTCCTCGACCTCCTCGTCCTCCGCCTCCTTCGACTCACTATTAATGTCTGGGGACGACATTGGCATGGTCCTGTGTCGACGTTCTAAGTGACGATGATTTGAGTTATAGTAGCTTTCATCATGATTGTTATAGTCAGAGAAAAGAAAGGTTATGTTGGGCGCCGGAGAAGGAGAAGAAGAGAACTTATGAAGAACTTCCACCTCCACTTTCGTTGCTGGCGCGTACGGAGAATCTGCCTTCTCACATGCCTTGGGTTTTGAAGAGGCATTACACCACCGATGGACGGTTGATTTTGACGGAGGAGAAGGTTCGGCACCATGAGTACTTCAGGGCCCATAGATCCAATGGGCGCCTTAGACTACAGCTTGTCCCTCTTGACGGCCAGGTTTTGGTTCCGCCAGTCGTTTGTTGTGATGATGATGATCATGATGAGGAGGAGGTGGATGATTATGATGGGTACTATTGTGACAATCATGATGTGCTCTACGATGACAATCTCGATGCTTATGATGGTGACGATGATGCTTATGATTACGATTACGATTGTCATTGTGATTATGATTATGATTATGACAATGACTGCGATGGTTTTTGTCGTCATGGTGGTGTTGAACAAACAATTAAGGTTGTCAATTCATCAACTGCGTCAGCTGGGAAGTGTCGCAATATTAACACTACTGTGAGAACAAAGTCATCGTGCATCGTGGGAGTGCTAGCGCCAGCGATCAGGTATGTTCACAGTTAAGGCATGCAATTTAAATACTCACTTTCATTTATGTAACTCATGAGCTCCCAAAATCTAATGATATTTTTAAAAATATTGAAAAGCAAGCACACCATCAGTCACATATATGAAATTATGGTGTGTTTGCTGCTCATTTTTTTCTTCATTATATGCTCTTATGGACACTTGAAAAAATAGTCATTTTGCACTCACGCTCATGGAAGAAACAAGAGAGGGAGGAGATTAGTGCCTCTTGACTATTTTAGAGTGCCAGTTACAATCGCTTCATTTAGTGTCTTCCATGAAATTCCATGGGTTGTCATGCCATGCTAGAAAATTAAAGCTACCTAGGTTACTTTGCAACTGTATGTTTGATAACTGTTGGATATTCTGCGGCGTATATGTGAAAAACTCTATTAAATCTAAACTATTGATTAAATTTATTAATTCTTGCATAAATTTGTGGTTTAGGCTTAAGCATCTTTTGCTGCCAGGGATTATATGATCCTAATTGCATTTCTTGCACGTTTCTTTACTGTGGATAATGCACTATGAATCAAATAACCTTTTCTTAGGTTTAGGGACTAACCATCAAAGCCAAAATTCTTGTTTCAAGAGCATTTTATACATGCACATTCTGCTGTACATAAAATATAATGCATATCAAAGTAAATTGAAAGTCTTAAATTTTCATCCTTGAAATTGAATGGATTTTAAGAAGTTTCTGAATTTGCAGATGTGTGAAGGGCAATACAAATGGATCAAGGAAAGGCTTTCTGGGGCAAGCTGGATTTGGCGGTCTATTTCGTGACCATGCTGGTCAAGTTATGATCAGCGCTTTTTTTGACAATATCGGAATCTCCTTTACTCATAGGGCTAAACTTGCAGCCTTCATCTTTGCTATGATTATAGCTTGGGAGAAGGGTTGGTTACATTATGGTTGGATACAGATTCTCAGTTGGTCCTATCTCTTTTCTCTAAACCCCTTTCTGTTCTTTGGTCTTTGTGTCCTAAGTGGGGACATTGATGTTATCTAATAAGCCTGCACGATCGAGCTTCAGAGTTTCTCATTTAGGAAAAAATGGCGATACATGCGGTGACTGATAATCTTGCCAAACCATGTCTTGGGGGGATAATACTGGTTTTTTAACTCCTGACTTAATAGCCAGGGATTGGAATTGCTCATTGTATATGGTTCTTTTCGTTGCCTTTAGCTGTACTCAAAGAATTCCTGAATCATATAGGTATATATTTAGAGAAAAAAAGAAGGGCTTGTAGTCTCCCCAAGGTCAGCCCTAGGGGCAGGGCACCGATTGCAAGGGCATGAGCCCCATATTGAGAGGGTCCCCATAAAATTTTTATTTTATATGTTTCGGTTTTATTAGTTCAGAAAAATTAAAGAAGTGAAACTCTAAAAGACTAGTGTGATGATGGTAAAGATGGAGTTTCTCGCCATGAGGCAGCTCAGCCCATTTTAGTCTTGTTTATTTTTTCAATTGGATTTTTGCTGTGATTAATTTATAGTTATTTTACAAGATTTTGCCTTTTGGTTTTAGTTCAGTGATGGAATCTTATTCAATGCTTCACTTTACGCCTCAAATTTTTGTAACACACTAATCATCGTCATAGCTTCTATCCTCCTCTTCATGGTAACTTTTTAGTGATTTTGGATTACAAGGACCTCAGTTAAATGATATTGGCCCTTTTCACCCATTGTCAATTGGTCTTAGATCTCTCATGCAACACAATATATGTCGTCTACCTGTTATGCTAAAAGTGGTGTCACATGTGAAGGGTCATGTTTTGAGTGTTCTCCCACTGAAAAAAAAAAAAAAATTTAAATCTTGCCTTGTAGAGTAAGTGGTTTTGGGCCTTTCCAATTCCACGCAGAGCTAATGGTTTTGGATTGGTAACTCGTGTTCTAATACTTGTGACTGGGAAGTACTTCATGTAACATCCCGCATCAACCAACGGAGAGGGGGTGATATACCTTATATGTACATGCCCACCTCCATATAGCATGAGGCCTTTTGGGAACTCATTGTCTTCGGATTCCATCGAAACTTTGAAGTTAAGCGAGTTCAGGCGATAGCATTCCTAGGATGGGTGACCCACTGGGAAGTTCTCGTCTGAGTTCCCAGAAACAAAACCATGAGGGTGTGACTGGGGCTCAAAGCGGACAATATCGTGCTACGGCGGAGCCGAGACTGAGATGTGACAGTTTGGTATCAGAGCCACTCTACTGTGCGAGTGTGCTGACGAGAACGTCGGGCCCCTAAGGGGGGTGGATTGTAACATCCCACATCGACCAACAAAGAGGGGGTGATGTTCCTTATATGTATATGCCCACCTTGGAGATGATGCATGATCTTGATTAATTCTATTTTGTACCAAATTCCATATGTACGGGCTGTGGACTTCTATATATCAAACAGGTTTGAATAGTTTGCCAAAGAAGATGTTGTTGAGAGCATCATTCTAAGAAAAGAGAGACCTTGCTTTTGCTTATAAGTAACGAAGATATTCCTCATATACTCATATATGTAGAGTCTAGAATCATTCCTTGTAAGAGAAAAGTTTGATTTTGATGTACCACTACCTAATTAATTAGAAAAGTACATCTATAAAGGGAATTGTTATTGGCAATTCAAAAATCTCATTTGGCACTCCAAACTTTCTATAATTAGAAAGAAAAATACACTTGTGAGGAGTGTATAATGAGATTTTTTGAGTGCTAATAACAGTTCCCTATATAAAAGTACATATGACATGCCCCGATCCCGATGTCCGAGGGACATCGGGATGGCCACGTGCTGGCCATCACCCGAGGGTGACGCAAGCCATTTAATGAATGCATATGCTGAGAACATGTAAATCATGCATATAAATTTCATTTGAACCACATAAAATAATATACTAATATTCAACTGCCAACAATGATAAAGATAGTGATAGTGCATGACATGTTCCGAGCATACCTCTAGTTTAAAATACAACGAAATGTGCTATTACAATGATGTCAAAGCAGAGATGAATGCATGATATCACTGGTAGGGGAATGCCTTGTAGCTTGGTTTGTAAGCCTCGTTCCTATGTCCTGAGGGGGCGCAAAACAAACATGAGTGGACCAAGTTGATATATATAATACTAAAACAGTTATCAACATACTAACCCCCAAAGTTTTATGAAAACTCAATAGCATAATATGTAGTAGGTTTTCCGAAAACCTTAGCATGCCATAAAACCTTCATAAAACATATCTCGTATATAATGTGCTAACTAGTGGTATCAAATCGCTTGTAGGTACTATATTTCTTGTCCCGAATCCAATGCATATGTCTCTCGGCCCGAAGTCATCTACATATATCTCCTTTTGCCCAAAGCCAGAACAGTGACCACTAGGTACACACAAAACGTTGAATATAATCTTTCCAACATAAATACATATATCTCAAAAGCATCTTCATAGTATATAGTCATCCATCATATATACTATAAAGAAGTGTAAAAACATGATCATAAATAGTATATAGTCATCCATCATATATAATATAAAGAACATAAATTTGATAAAGTATGGTATTCCAAAATATTCTCAGTAAAGCATGATAATCATAAAGTGTAAATCTAATTTACTCATAAAACGTAACCATTAAATCATGCTTTTCATGTATGTATTTCTACTATTAAAAGATGCATTTTAGAAGGGGTCCACTCATAGATACTCCGTCGTTGAAGAGTCGTACGAAATAGGAATGACGGAATCACCGTTAATAATTGTACCTAAGCACATAAAGGGTCCAATTATCAAAACTATACTCAAACAATTGAATTTCGAAAAACGGATGCCATAAACGGATTTAGGATGTCGAAAAACATAAAGGGGGACCTCGGGTACCCCTATGCGCCCTCATGCGCCGCCGCAAGGTGGCGACTCCGGCAGGCACCCATGCGCGGCTGGGCTGCTAGGTTGGACCAGGTTTGGACCTGGGTTCTTGGGCTTGGATCCAATAGGTTTGGGCTTGGATTCGATGGCCTGGGCTTCGCCACTGGCTGGGTTCTAAGGCCCAAAGGCCTGGGTCTAATGGGCTTTGGGTCAAAGGGCTTGGGCTTGAAAGCCCAGCCTAAGGGTTATAGGGTTTAAAGTTCAACGGGCCAAAGCCCTTATGTTTTGGGCTAAGGGTTTAGCGGGCCAATAGCCCGAGTTAGCATGGCCCCAAGGGCCTGTCTCTTTGGGTTTGGGCTTGAAGGCCCTTTCCTTACCGGGGAAGGTCGCCATCAACACTCACCCCTAGGCTATAAACTAGGTACCAAAATGAAGCTAGAGACGAGTGGGAGTGATTAGGTACCTTTGATTCGTCGTGGGGTGGCCGGAATCTGGGCTTGAACACCACGGGTTCTTGGGTGTCCTCTGGGTGCCCTGAAGCTTCATAGCGACTAAAAGAAAGAGGGAGAATGTTCTTGCGAGGGTGATGGTGGTGGTGGTGAGGTCGTTGGGGTGGTGGTGCCTCGGTGTGCATGTGTAGGTAGATCCGGAAGGGAGAGTGCGAGAGAGAAAGATTTGTGAGAGAGAGAAGAGTAAGCTGAGAGAGACTCGGGGAAGGGGAAAGAAGGAGATGGGGTGAGTGTGTGCCACGTGGCAAGCAAAGAGAGGAGGAGAAGTCTGAGAAAAATCTAAAAAGAGATCCGGATAGGGTAGGATTCTGGGGGTAAAATTGTCTTTTCATCAATATTTGGTATAAAATTACAAATAATTGGGGAGGGGTTTTACAACATATATACATGTAGATGCTTTCTAAGACATCCATCTCTATCATTTACCACAAGAAACAATGTCACTTATGCACGTGCCTCTCGTGTGCATTACTTTATCACAAGAGGCATTCAGTGGACGCACCAACTGAGATTTAATTTCATTCTATATATGTTCTCACTTAAGGACAAATTTCAAGTGGAGATGAGAGAGAAACATAAATACTCATAGAAGCAAGCAATCTTATTGCCATTGATACAAAGTAACCCTAATTTTCTCTTTCAAGCTAAGTCATCCTGGACTTGAACAAAAGACCTCACCGTGAAGTAAATCACCAGCCAAGGTCTTTTGCTCTCCTTGGCATCTGTTATTTTGGCACAAATCTTTTTGGTTCTTGTAAACAACAGTTTGAGAAGGTTCAATTCCATAAAGAGCGTACCAAAAACACAACTTAATCCTCCCTCTCTTGTGTTTCTATTACTCAGGTATTATCTCTACAACTTAGTATATTTTATTTTTGCAGTGATTCCTGTTCAAGAAAACCATTCCTATATAATTTCAATTGTTTTTTTTTTTCCTTTCATTGGGGTTCTACATTGATTCACAAAATTTGAAATCCTAAGAACATAAATGAAATGAACAAAAATTAACATGAATTTTTAGGTTTCTTGCAAAAGGAACATTGCAAACCGAAAGCAATATTTAATCTTTGAGAATTCATTTTCTTCGTTCAGGAACGTTGCAAAATGGGTGCGGAAAAAAGAGATCTGTTTTTTCTTCTTGGTCAAATGGAAGCGCAAGTTGAGAAAGATAAATTTTTTTGTTGATTACATCGGAGAGAATCGAATTATGTACTTATTAATCCTAATCCACTTCCTCATCTTCTATTTTAGGATTCTTTCTGATGTTCATATCAGCTGAGGATTAATTTCTTTTGATTTGGATTAACATATGTCAAACCGGATTAGGAAAAGCAAAGTGGGATTGAAATTGATTAATCCCAGCAGCTGTACTGTGCACCAATTCTTTGCATGTATGATATTGGTTTTTGTAAAGAAGTATTCTATACTCCAGGATACCGTAGAAAATAACACGGTTTACTTGAACATTACATGCATGGCTCTTGTATGTACCGCAAGAGTCATGTGCAAGTAAACCACAGGTTCAATACAACATTGATTGAAGGGAAAGAGATCAAATATACGTGTCTCATAAGCTGGTTGGTGAACAAGGCAAAGAACAGACTTGGCATCAAACATGGAAGCCAGAGAATACAAAACCAGACAAATTCAGTTCGTGGATTTCTCACTTCTTGATCTCCTGTGCATCTCTTCCCTGCTGTCACAAAAGGCCCACCAATCACGTTATAAACGGCAGTGGGGTCAGACTCTGATGTGCTATTTTCTGTGCCGGTTACAAAGCACCAGACACCATGCCATTGCAGGTGAACCCAGCCCTCCGCCGAGCCCAGAAAAACAGCCGTTTCTTTGCAATTTTGCTAGATTGGAAATGACCTTTGCGCCCATGGAGAACGTGTCGTGCCAAAGCGGGGACTATTGTAAAGCCACGGGGCAGTTGAGGTAACCTAACTTGGTTAATTGCTGAGCCTTCTCCTTTAAAGGGTTACCAACATTGGAGACGGCACTGCAACTTGGATGCTCTTCACTTTGTATAGAAGAGGAAATGGAGTGATTGAACGTGCGACCGGTGACAGAGTAAGATTAATATATGCCCTAATCTTCATTATTTCTCGTCTCTTCTTGCATATATATTTTCTCCACA